CACGTTCGTATCAAGTCATGCTGTGTTCTTTTGGTTGCCCCGCACTCCCTTCTCATCTTTTTAAGTGTGCACCAGACTCTGCCTCCCTGCCAGATTGGATTTCTTCAGGCACAAGGCGATCAGACAGTGTTCTGTTCCTGACCGCTCTTGTTATCAACACCCTTCATGACCACAGCTTCCTCGTCTTTGTCTTGCCCACGACGGATAACTCATGCCCACTGGATATTTGGACCTTGACTCTCGCTCTGTCTACTGACCACCGACTCTCGTCTAACCCCTCGGATAACTGTTGCCTTTTCTGCCGCTCTGTGACAACGCCTGTATCTTGACCACGATCTCAGACCCCAGACATTAGGAATTGTAAGTTTTTGGAACCAAGCTCCACGAGCTGAAGAGGAGCGTTGTTGAACCTCCCAGGTCCCACTCACGCTCCATTTGATTTATCCATCCATCCATTTATCTTTTACTCTCTTCCTCCTTTTTGGGTCATGGGGGTCACTGGTGCCCATATCCAGCTGTCACTGTGCAAGAGGCAGGGTTCACCCTAGACAGGTTGCAAGTCCATCACAGGGCCACGTAGAGACAAATGAGACAAAGAACCATTCACACTCTCACCTAGGGACAACTTAGAGTTACCAATCAGCCTAACATGCATGCTTTTGGTCTGTGGGAGGAAACCAGAGTACCTGGAGAACACCCATGCAAAACGTGCAAACTCTACCCAAAAAGGCACCCCGGCCGGGACTTGAACCGGCAACCTTTTTCACTGCGAGGCGACTGCTCTACCTATTGCACCACAGTGCCACCCCATCTGACATAGTTCAATATATTTTTGTATATTTTTTTTAATTTAGTGGCGTCCAAATACCAGTCTCAAGTACTTGTATTTGTGCTGATAAAAACACCCCATTACGTAGGACCAATACGACTTTTTTATGCTTGATGTCATTTCCTCTTTCACTTGCAAGTACTGTATTTTTCGGACTATAAGGCGCACTTAAAATCTTTTAATGTTTTCAAAAAATCAACAGCGAGCCTTATAATCCGGTGCGCCTTATGTATTAATTCTGGTTGTGGTTACTGAATTAAAACTTATTTATTTATTTTTTTGATGTGTTCAAAAATATGTCAAAATGTTTTCATTTCACTTATAATCCAGTGCACCTTATAGTCCGAAAAAAATATGGTAATCAAGGATAAAGAAACTAAAAGCTGTCCATAGTTTATAAATATTTTGAGATAAACAAATGATGTTAAGACGGTGGACTGTCGTGTATTCTTAATAAAAGACACATTTCTAAAGTTACTATGTACTGTTTAAGTACTAACTCATTAACTACCATACTTGGTTATGGTAGTCAGTATCAGCAAGTACTCAAACTGAAGTACTTGTACTCGGTCTAGAAAAAACTGGATTTGGGGCACCCCTAATTTAAAATCATATTTTTCAATGGCTACCTTTTGACCCTGTTCTTTGTTTCATGTGTTCACACCAAAAGTCTTTTTTTTTTGTGTGTGTGTGATGCAGGGGGAGTGCAAAGCGGTAGGATTAATTGTTTCTACAAATAAAAATGTTCAAAGGCAAACGACAAATGAATAGTTTTTCAGGATTTTCTCAGAATAAGTAACATGTGGCTGAACTCTACTAAACTTGTTTGCGGTCTTGTCAAATTACTACAAACAGTTGTAACAGTTTACTAAAGGTTGAGCATGTATTTCTTTTCCTACATTTCTCTGCTTTTGCTGCAGACGGGAAAACTTGTCTAAAGCTCACAAAAGAGTCGCTGAACAGCATGATACCCCCTTGGAGCTGTAAATTAAAAGCCGATGAGTCACGCTAACTTCAGAGGTGGGGTAACACCAGGAAATAGAATTGGACCTTAGTTTCCTCGCCTTTTATACCTTCTCTCTGCGACATGTGCCCTGGTTCCCATTTCCCTTAAACAAGATGAATGCAGACCACCTTGTTCAATTAGACCGACACGTTTAACGTAGCTCTTTCCCCTTTCTTGTGTAAAAAGAGTCCCCATCAATCCAGATGAGGAACGGCCGAGTAAAAATCAATTAGTGCTCCCTTAACAAGTACATCTTACACTTTTGAGCAAAATTGATAATACAACTTGTTATACAATGTGCTGGGAATGTAGCTCAAAAATTTATTGTGACATTTTTGTTAGGAGTAGAAAGATGGAAAAAGGAGACAAAGGAGATGCTTAAGTTGAGTCCTGCAGTTCAGCAGAGGACAAAGAAAACTTAAAGTGGTTTCAGTAATGATGCCCGTAACCAATCAATTACTAACCCCCTTAAGCTCGAGTTAATTTTTATGTTACTTCAAGCATTTCTAAACCAGGAAGTGGGTGACGTGAAGCCACCAGTACGGGCAGGATGGGTGTAAAGCGCATGTAAAAACACAGACCGACCTCCACTGTTGCTGTGCAAGTGTTTTCATTTTAATACATTCAAGGCGGGGACCCCTGAGCGCTTTAAGAAGTCACAGCACAAAATGAGTATTTGCTACAACTCAACCATTAGACTTGATCAAAAATAAATCTGAAAGCTGGAAAATGAAGAGGAAGGTGGTAAGTGAAGAAGATTGCTATTAAATGAATCAAATATTCTGCCTGGAGATGATGGGCAATACAACACCTGTGTTTCACTAGAGAGGACTGTGACCGATCAAGGTTAAACTATTTCTTCCCTTATTTATGGCATTTGGACTGTTTTCACAGCTGTTGAAAAGGTTTAAAGAATACAGTATTACAATAAAAATACAAGTTTATATCCCGCTTGGCTCCAACTGTTGACGCCAAACTGTGAACGGCGTCCAGAAAAAGCTTTATCAAACAATAAAAAATTATTTGTTTGCATCACTAAAGGACATGCTCTTGTGTTGCAGGGATTGTGAACATGTTAAACAAACATGGAAAATAATTCCCAAAACGGTCACAGAAACATCATGGGCATCTCAAACTCTTCTGTTATTGATGAAGACGATAAAATGCAGTCTGACTGAGACACTAGTGACTAAATTGAGACAAATACATTTTGTCACGTAGATTATTTAGTTATGACTGATTACTGGAGTAAGTGGAGCAGCTGCTCCCACTTTTTTTTTTTTTTTAAGTGGAAGTGCAAACTTGTGATGTTTGCTCATGTGATATATTCAGGTGTCCATGATAACAAATGTACACAGACCAAGTACCAATTAAATGTGATCAAGTAAAAATAAGTGTATTTTCTGGCAATTCTGTCTCCAACTAGTCGCCATCAGCCACAGCCTGTTTAGATAAAGGCTTTAACAATAAACTGGTGTTAATTTCTTCCAACTGGATGATTTTGATGTATACAATTAAGTTATTATAAAAATAAACCTTTAAAGTATAGGTTGAAAACACTGCTAACCTTACTGTAAGTCCACACCTACAATGATGCTTACAATTAGTCTTTTTAACCATGTCTTTGTAATTTTATTGTTCACAGCTAATATTTATTTTCTAAAATTGTAAGTGTTAAGGAAAATTTTATGACAGTGAACTGATCTTCTATTTTTGTTTTTAAACCAAAGTTTTGTTAACAAGTTCACCACAATGTGCATACATCGGTTTAACTAACAGGATATAATTTGCTAATAAGCAGCTTGGAGCAAAAACTAGAACCTATAATTGGGGGGAGTGGTGGCGCAGAGGTTAGAGAGGTGGGCTTGTGATCCGAAGATCGCCGGTTCACGCCCCGGCCCCGACAACATCAAAATTGTGGGTGGGGTAGGTGAAACACCCACACTTGCCCCCACCCTCATTCACCCCACTCTGGGCCCATGAGCAAGGCCCTTAACCCCCACCATGTGCTCCCTAAAAAAAAAAAAAAAAAAAAAAAAAACAGGTCTCTCTTGCAAATGAGTTCTCGTGGCTCAATGAGACTAACCTGGATAAATAAAGGCTAAATGAAAAAAAAAAAAAAATAATAATAATAATCAAATGGTAAAATTAGCTAAAATCAAAGGCAGAATCTAAATTATAGCAAAAACGTAAAATTAGCTAAATGGGTAAAACCAGCAACACAGTAGCTAAAAGCTCAAATTTTGCCAAACTTAAGCTAAAAGGGGAACGGTGGCACAGAGGTTAAAGAAGGTGGGCTTGTGATCGGAAGGTCGCCGGTCCCACTCATCGGACCATCAACAACAAAATGTGGGTGGAAAAAGTGAAACGCCCACAGCTGCCTCCACCCTCATTTGCCCCACTCTCAGCCCTTGAGCAACGCCCTTAACCCCCACCATCTGCTCCCAAACAGATCCCTCTTTAAAATGAGTCTTTGTGACTCAATGAAATAAAAAATATAATAAAAGAATAATGTCATATAAAAAATGTAAACATTTTTCTCACACTGTCACTGACACCAAGGAGCTGGTGGTTTACCTTTTTAAAGTTGCTCTGCTTGCTGGTTCCCTGCTCTGTGTTCTGGTTGTGAATGATGTCCAGAGGGGTCTCTCTTTCTTTCAGCTTCAGGCTTTCGATCTCCGTCTTCAGCTCATTCAGCTGCTCCTGCAGGTGCTTGCTCTTCTCCATATACTCAACTCTTAATAAATAAATAAAAAAAAAAAAAGAAAATACAGATGTTGTGAATAATACAGTGAGAAGTACAAGGAAAAATTTTATTTTCAAAATTAAGAGTATTTTATTTGTACAGTCCAGTAGCTTGTAATAACGTGCAGCACTGTCACTGTACTGGTCCCCCGCCCCCAAAAAAGTTAAAATTTAAACAGCATGAAAAGCAAATAAAATAAAGTAAAATTACAATTACCTTGAAAACAAAACAAACAAAAAAACAACCTGTACCTGCAGGCTGTTTAACCTTTAGGTATTGTGCTCTCTCTTTTCAAAAACCTGATGGGTATACTGTAATATACAAAATAATTTTACAACTCTTCCATATATTATCTGACAAGTCTGTTATCAAGAATTGCACAGCTCTGTGACTCTGCTGCACTTATTTTTAAATACTTTACCACCTAATTATATCCCCAACATCAAACCAAGTAATTTATTCATCTGCACTGCCGGGGTCATTCCTGTCTAAATGTGATTTTTCTTTTTTGCTGTCTGTTATTTATGACCCCAAGAGCTACTGAAATAAATTGCCTTAATACCAGCAGCAAAATCACTGATGGCCATATCTTCGGGTCATATGCACTCTGGTATCAAAATGTGTCTAATATAAGCTCATTTGTGTGCAATACAGCATCAGTCTGGATCTAAATGAAACACATTTTGACCATAGAGAACCACATAGGCAGAAAGTGTAACAGTTCCATTTTCAGAAATAAAAGCATAAGGGGAATTTGCTAGGTAGGTCAGGCAACTCACTTCTCTTTCTCGATTTCCATGGAAAGACGTTTCATGTCGGTATCTTTGAAGTCAAAGCTGAGGTTCTCCCTGCTGAAACTCAGGTCTGGAGGAATGCTGTCAGAGGGCCGTCCAGGGGACTAGGAGGAAAAAGGTTTGTGTTAAATGCAGAAAAAAACCCCAATAGATATTAAAGATATGAATGAGAAACAAATGCCAAAAAGCACAAATCTAAAAGGACGAAGGCCAATAAAAACCAATGACAGAATAAAGGGAGGAGATTACAGTAGGGAACTGATCTGCAAAAGCAACACAAGGACAAAATAGTGATGGAGAGAAATGCTCAAAAGGAACAGACGGGGAACATAATCCATGAACATGCATTTAGTATATGCTTCTGAATCCTAACAAAGTGTCTGCAACACATTGGTACAGTGACACCTCGGAGTCAGCTGGAAAAGAACCGGTCCTAAAACACAATCTAAATGTAAATGTGACACCCAGCGTGTCAATCCACACTATAGCTTTGATATATTTAACATCGGCATCTGGTCAGAACACGGAGAGCAGCTTGAATGAAACTGACGGGGTGGGAAATCAAGAATATTGTGTGTGTGTGTGTGTGTAAGACCTCCCCCCTCCCAAGAGCTGATAAATATACAGTGAAAATGCAGCAGCAGCATCTTTTTTGCATGTATGCACTGCAGTGTGGGTGTGTCGGTGAAAACTTTTCATTCATAAGCTGATAAGAGTTTAATATTCTATAAACAGCCACCGTGTGTGTGTATGAACAGGAAGATGAATATGAAGTGTGTAGGGTTTTAAAATGTTGGAAGCGCCTGCGTGGGCTGCCTTGTGCGTTGTTCGATATTCTGCAAGTATCTGTGGTTTAGCTCTGCGAGGTTAAATTTGCCCGCGACAGTGAGCGTATTTTTGGAGTTAAGATAAAACTGTTAAACCAATGAAAAGTAAAGATATATATTTAATCCAAACCACAGCAGTGCCAAATTCCAGCAAATATAGCAGAATATAATTCGGGAAAACTTTCCTGCATGTTAATTAAAAACTGGTAATTGGAAATACCCTCGGTCCATCCATCTGTTTGCGCGTGCATGTCGTGGTCATGACAACTTGAAAAATAAGTGTGGTCCTGGCTTCCATTTTGGTATGTGGCTACATCTAGGTGTAAGAAAGGTTCTTTTCAAAATCTGGGTTACCATGTCAAAAGAATACTGACGTACCGCTTGTTCTGATTGTTAACAGGAGTTCATGCTTTCACCTTTTTAATATGTTCGTATTAAAATATTTGACTTACAGGTACCGTTTGAATTATGTATTTTAATTATTATTATTTTAAATTTTAAAGAAGACGTTTTAGGGAGCTTTGATCCATCACTTTAAGATGTGATCAGTATTTTTCACATTTTGTCAGATATTTTAGATGCAATGCAAAGATAAAATCAGTGCATCTCAGCAAACAAACTAAGAAAATTACTTTTTACTTGAATAAAGGGATATCGTTTTCTGCATTTCAGATTTTCTAATGAACATTCCCATGTCAGACTGTAAATCAGTGTGTTTTTGTTGTTTTTTCCCCACCACATTGTTTTAGTGTCTGCATGCAGCTCAGTTACCGTATAGATGGCTTTGCTGGTAATTTCCAGCAGCTTGATCTTTGCTCTGCGTTCTGAGTCCTTGGCTTCCTGCAGGTCCTGTTTCAACTGCTCAGCCTCTTTGGCTCTAACAGATAAACAGGTAGTACATATTTAATATTTCAATTCAAAAAGACTTTCCAAAGAAACAGAACAATTAAAATCAAATACTCATCATCCTAAATAATCAGCATTTCAGTGTTCAGTGATCCAAGTATGTTCTGTCATTACTCAGATAATCAATGTTTGACTCAACAAGAGAATTGTTTTTGTCTCTGTTGTTTCACCATTTACTGTGAACAATGTAATAATGTTTTAGGCCGATGTTCATGGTTTTTTTTTATTGCGTTCCTGAATGCTCAGTTCTGTCGATGTGGGGGAGCGTCGTGCTGAAAGCATTTGAGTGGATGGGTCCGTTACCATTTACATGTTGAGTGGTGCAGGTTTAAATTTTCTCGGGTGCAGAAAAGTGCTCATCCAGAAATTGCAGTTAGAGTTAAGTGGCTAATGGTACCCATCTGAAGTGATTGCCTAATAAACTGTCAAGTAGAAACTGTGAAGGGATATTAGTGATGCTATGTATGGTGTTTTGTTATGAATATGAAATGATTGTAGCTTTATACAGAGCTGGCTGACAATTCCACCACTCCAAGTCACTGTGTTGAGCTAAACTTCAAAAACTAAAAACATCATTTTATCCTGATCTTAATTTCACTCATTCTATCAACCCCAAAAAGCAGAGAAAAGAACATTGCTTTTACTTGGGACACAGAAAAACAGAACAAAATCTTTTTAGTGGTGTAGAGTTTCAGCGGGAAGTAAAAGAAACGAGGTTTTAAAGCCTTCCACTGTGAATCAATACCACTCCTCACAATTAACTACCACAAATAAAGTGTCGCGCTTCGGGAAAAGCTGATAAATAAAAGCTTTTTAAGAGCTATTTGCTTGTGTCTGCAGCAAGCTGCCTGTAACCTTCTTTCTGGACTCTGTGCAAAAACAAACCATTCGAAATGAAAGGATTTTAAACAAGTTAGCAGCTCCTGCTCTTTGACTGAGCTGTGTGTTCTGCGCTTTGAGCACAGTGAGTTTCTATTTTCATATCAAAGTGTGAAACCGATTGTTTGAAAACTTTCATATTAAACTGCGCAATACCACAAAAACATTTCAATTATCACAGGGGTTACGTTCCAGACACCCCCGTGATAGATGAAAATCTGCGAAGTAGGGACGTTGTATTTATTTTAGTATTGATATATATTTTAAGGCTTTATAAATAAACCTTTCCCACACTCTTGCAATGTTCTTAACAATGTTCACACTTCATTATTTTGAATAAACAATCCATGCTGCTCGTGCGGTTCACTCAGGTATAAGACAGACACACACACACTTTCTTTCTTCTGAGGCTATCTGTTGCGTGCCCGCCTGTTGTGTGTCTCTGGGACACGATGGGGAAAGACAACCCACTCTCCGTCCACTCCTTTCTCTTTCTCTGCTGTGACAGACGGCCTCAGAAACTCTGAAAAAGAAAAGAGGGGGCGGGGGAGTGTCTGTCTTATACCTGAGTGAGCTGCACTCGGTCACTCTCTCTTTTTTAAGCTGATTCACTTTTTTTATTTTTCCACCTAAGCATTTTCTCTGATATTCTGCATTTATTAATCTGCTCCCTGAGCAATAGCAAGGGGAAAGACAGACCCCACCCCCTGTCCACTTCTTTCTCTTTCTGAGGCTGTCTGTCACAGCAGAGAAAGAGAACGGAGGGGGCGGGGTCTGTCTTTCCTCCTCGCTACTGCTGTGACAGTCTCATGCTACAGCTGAATTAACCTCCTCTCCAGCTCATCCTCAAAAAAAGAAAGGAGGGGGGTATGTCTTATACCCCTCCCATCAATAAGTCAATTGTGCCATTTACAATCTTGCGTTAAAAACCCGCGAAAGAATGAGTCCTTGAAAGTCGAACCGCGAAGAACCGAGGGACTGCTGTACTTAAAACATTTAATTTCAATCTCCTGAAAGTAAATAATTATTTTTAAAAATCAAATTTCAAAACGCAGGAAAAAAACAAGTTATCAGGACGAGCTAATGAGATATTTAAATGTATAGCATGTTTGCATGTTGTGTAAGTGTCTGTGTGAGATTAAAACAAAAACGGAGGATTTGAGTATGAGAGATGGTCTAATAGTGACAAAGACACAAAAACTGCCACAGCTAAACAGACACAATTCAAAGACACTGTGGCAGAGATGGTACTCTCCACATTAGTGCACTCGTTCCGTCTTGTTCTCCTCCCCACCTTCTTTCTGACTCCTCAGCCATCTTGAGTGCTCTCATCTCAGCCTCCAGCACCTTTTGTTCCATGATGCGTCGCTCCTCCTGGCCTCGTATGGCGGTCACTTTGATGCGCTGCATCTCAGTCTCAGCCTCAGCAGCTTTCTGGGCCAACAGCTTGGCCTCCTCCTCTGCTATCTGGGCTTTTTCAGCCAGGAGGTCCGCCGTCTGTTCTGAACGCAGCTGGAGAGAAGCAGGGAGGGAGGAGATTAAAGGCCAAACAAGAAGAGTGGGGGCAAGGAAAGTTAAAATCGACAGAGAAACTGGAAAAAGAGAAACCGAGAACTAGTGACACATAAATGTGCATCCAAAGCAGAAATAACTTTGCTTCAACGCCTTTTTATTTGTGTGCTACTGGAAGCAAAAATTTGAAATGTAGATTGAGTAAAGCCTCATAACCCTACCAATGCCTCATTGGCCATGTGAGCCTCATTCTGCAGCTGAATTAACCTCCTCTCCAGCTCGTCCCTGGCTCTCTCTGCGTCCTCCCGTAGCTGCTTTTCCCTTTGCAGAAGCTGCCTCTCTACCTGCATCACCCAGAAAACACAACATGGTTAAAAAGTGGAGAAAGAAAGCATATCGAATATGGTAATATGATGAAACTTGTATGTCTGGTTTCATTATAAGACACGAGTGTGAATAAAAGTGAGGCAAAACTGAAGTTTAGACTAAAGGCTGTACATGTTTAAGCTCTAATATAATAACAGTAAGTATATGAGCACATAAATAAAATATGAGTAGCTAAACTGATTGCAGGTAATGCACATTTCCATCCACCTGTGCACAGAAATACAATGTGACAGAAATTTGATTAAAGTGTTGTATAACAAAACAAGTTTCTAACAATTGACTGCAGTGGAAGTGCTTGTATGCTGATAAAATGGGAACAAAAAAAACCTTTCCCAGAACACAATCAAATGTTAGTTTGAAATGCAATTTAAAAATGGAACATTTTGTGTTGGCTTTAACTCTAATACTAAAAAGTATTGGGAAAATGCTTTTAACGTCACGATCGCCGCTCTCTGCCACGGCCACTTCCCCGTCACTAATCGGCGCTCATGCCATGCACCTGCTCCACACTAAGAGCTCCATCCACAGCAAACCTATGCCAGATTATCAAACCCTTCATGGTATTAGATATCTAGCCATTTTGTTCATGTTCACGCCTGACGTTCTTGTCTCGACCTCACGCCTTGTCTTTCGGATTTACTGCTCTGCCTGCTCCTCGTATGATTTTGTTCTGCCCTTCGGACCCTGGTAATGACGACCCCTTTTGCCTTGAGGTTTGGCCTATGGATTTGATTTTGGACTTCTGACTCCCCGCGCTCGACCCCTGCTTTGTCTTTCGGACGATAACTCTGCAGCTGCATCTCATCTAGCTCCGACAGGTGGCTCCCTTATCACCTGCCTGAGAGGACTTGTTTGGACTCAAGGCTCCCACCAGCGGTTGCAAAACAATAATACATTTATTTAAATGCTCTTGTTGTCTGTCTGAACTTTTGAATCCTAAAACCTGATCCTTGGCATTTAAAGGCCAATAAAGACAATGCAACATGCCTGAAATTATGCATTTCTGTTTTATAAGTAATGCTTAAAGTTAAAGAAGCTATTACAATACATTCTGAGGTTAACCTAAGAATAGTGTATGTACTATCCAAAGTTTAGCATTTGTAAAACACCAGTGCATATAGCATTGTATTACCTTGCATTTGATTTGCTGGTTAAAAGTTGCATTCAACATTTAAATAAAAAAATCAGATGTTTTTCACTCTGTTATTGGTACCTGCTTTCTGGCCCTCTCTTCTTTAGCCTGAGCCTTCATTTGCTGCACTTCAAGAGAGTCCACACGTCGTCGTCGCACAAACAGGTCATGGTTCCCGATACACAGCTGGAGGATCTGAAGAGCAGAAACAAAACCAATTGGTTCCTTAAACGGATACACTGCTGCTTGTGGAAGGCTAAATAACTTTGACAATGTCAGCTGAGCTCACCAGCTTGTTGACTCTCAGTCGGGGGGAGTTGAACTTGAACACTTTTGTTTTCTTGTCCAGAGGTTTGATGGTAAACTAAACGATAAGAGACCAGAAACGGATGTTAATGTCTGATGGGACAGGACATTATTTCTTAAGTTTGTTAACAAAACCAGTAGAATATTTTCAAACTTAACTTGAACGTGAGACAAGATTTCTTATGTTGGAAGCCAGAGATACTTTAAATTGAATTACTGATTGTTCCGTCATTTACTTAGATAAGTAACATGTTACAATATTTGCTGTTAAACATGTTTAACAGTGAATTCTCCCACCTCCTTGTCACTGTAGGATATGTTGCGGATCTCGTTCCACGGGAAGGAGCACTTCGGTGTCAGCTTGTTTTCTGGCTCGTAGATGTGCAGACCCAGGGCATCCACTCCCAGCAGCAGGTCTGTTCCCTTTTTATTCTAAACCACATCAGAGGGAGAAAAGCTTTTCTGCTGCTCGACACAAGCGAGCAGCTGTGAGACCATGCTCCCGGCCACCATTCATTTGTACCTGCATTTGACAGAGGTGGCTCTGCTCGCCAAAACTGTTTGTTAGAATTGAGCCGAACAATGCTGCTTGTTCATGTTCAAATATCAAATATATAAAGCTGAGCTTGACTTTCTAAAATAGCTTGGTTTTGAATAAAATGCATGAAAACAGGCCTTACTTAAAGGGTTTCCGATTTGTTTTGTCGACGACTCGGTCATAATACGCCAAAAGCAAATATCAAACATTAATTATTGTAATGTTCAAAACTCCAGACACATAATTTTCAAAGGTGAGTTTCATTACTTATGGCTAAAAATACTTTACAGTAATCCTTCGCTACTTGACACTTCATTTATCGTGGACTCGCTCTATCGCGGTTTTTCAAAATAAGATTGGACATGACACACCATTGGTTGATTGATGGATGAGTCTCACGATTGGCATGGAATTTTTATTTAAAATAAATTATTTTAAATTATTTAGCACCTGCTGCACATTTGTGCAGCCCAGAGTTGCAGAAAAATCTTCCTCCTGCAGCTTTGTGCAGCCCTTAATGCTGCAGGATAAACTTCCTGCTGCAGCTGATCAGCTGTTCACCATGCAGAACGGAGAAGTGGGCAAAGAGCAGACGAGGCAGGGAGCTGAAATCATGACATTCTGTGCTCTTGGAGCGTTTAGAAACATTGTTTAAAATATTGCAAGAGTGTGGGAAGATTTTATTTATTATATCTACAGTATCTATCTAGAGACGGACGGACGGACACAGACAGACAACTACTTATAGAGCACAGATCCCGCGGAATAAACAAGGAACTACTGTATTGTGGCTTATTTTGTAATAAAACTGCAAAGCTGCATCAACTCACCCTGATTAAAAAGTAATTGACGCCATACATGTCCAGGTCCTGAGCTATTTTTAAATACTCCATCTCAGCTTCATCCCTGGTTCAAAAATGGATAGAGGGAGAAAAAGATTGAGAAGAACTCAAAAGAACACAGAGAATAGGAGAGAAAAGGAGAAACAGAAGTAGAAAGAATAAAACGATCAGACCTTGTTTCCTTTGCTTTTGTGTGCAGCATCTATCAAAACTCTGCCACATTTCTCTCGCAGGGATTAAAAAAACCGACACTCCACCGACACAAAACACGACTATAACTCCCTAACAGGCTTTTGGGGTCATGCCTGATGGAAAACAAGACTTTTCTGATGCCTCCAAGACAGTAAATACAGCTGGAAAGCAAGCAAAGACAACAAACTCGTTTCTTCTTGCTCTTTTCTCTCAGCATGTTGGCAGATCTGTTAGGAATTCAGGGTTAAATTATCAAAAGCAAGTCATTAGCATACTTTAATGGGTGAGGAAGAATCAGGCCGTGCTGGAGCTCAAACTTGTAACAACGCTGTTTGATATGGGTGGTTGGAAAACTGATGATTTAAGCTTCATGAATGTTTAAAGAGACAAGAAATCAAAATGCAAAGTAAACAAAAACTTCATTGGGTTGGACACGAAGCATACTCTTAAGTTCATACGGCAAAATTCTAATAGAAATACTTGATTTATGCAGTGAAGAGCAAGAGGTGATGGATTCACTCCATCCATCCATCAATCAATTAATCAATCACAGGGCCACAAACGAGACAAACAACCGTTCACTCTCTCTCACACTTTGGGACAATTTAGAGTTCCCAATCAGTCTAATGTGCATGTTTTTAGTCTGTGGGAGGAAACCGGAGTACCCAGAGAAAATCCACGCATGCACAGAGAACATGCAAACTCCTCCCAGAAAGGCCCCTGGTGATTCTAACCAGCAACCTTCTCGCTGAGAGCCGACAGATCTACCAACTGCACCGCCGTGTCGCCCGTGGTTTCACTCGACAAGCAATATATAGATACAAACGACCGGTTACTTCTCAGCTACTTTGACGTGGCACTTGTGTCTTAATTTTAAACCAAACTCCAAAAGCCTATGGACCAGTGTACAGATGAGGGTACTCTATTAAAACAAGGTGACTGACACTTTTCCCATTGCCAGGAGCAGTCGAAGTTACCCTCAATGTGCTGCTAGAATCGATTGCTCCAATGAAAACGCCTGCAGACATTACAAAAAGAGAGCAAATGCAAATTGACTATTTGGAAGGCTGCAGCGGACTGTAAGATGTCATACAGGTGATTATCTGAGATAAGGAGAGGGAGTTTATAGCGTGTCCACTTGGATGTTCTGTTTCCCTCTCTCCTAATGTGGGCTTGGACAGATTGCATTTGATTATTGCAGAGTGATCTGGAACAAAACAAAAAGCCAAATCTACCTGTTTTTGATAATAAAATGCAGGTATTTGTATTTGTTAACAGGTTAATTTAGTAAATGTAATCCCCCCCCTCCCCCCCAAATTGAAATTCATGTCATTACTATGTCAACACTAATGGTGACAGGTTTTCAGTAACACGTTGCCTTAGGGTTCACATTACTGCTGATCTTCATCTACAACCCTTCATCACTGTGCTAAATACGTATATAAGAACCCCTACGTTTTTTTCAACTGCTCAAGGAGAATAGGCTTTTTGACCAGTGACTCAGTTAGTACTTTTCCAGTGCTGAGGTTTCTGTCTATTAGAATTCACTTTCCAGTCATAAATCTCTCCGCCAGAGAGATTTAGGACACTTTATATCCCTGAAACCGCTCACATCCATTTTAACTCTGTCTCAAGTTAACTGCAAAACAAAGTGCAAGTGCACAATGACCCAATTTTCATTTTTCTGTTAATGTATTTTTACTACATCATTTTTATAGCTCAGCAAAATTCCCTGAAGGCAGAAACAAGTGTTTTTGTTGTGATCTTCTTCGTTAACACTTGTGCATCTTTTTTTCTGCATCTCAGTATTCAAGCAGACTCCCGTTTTTGTATAAAAGAGAAACATTTATTTTGAACCAAGTCCTCAGCATGCCTCACTTGAACTTGCATCTTAAATTGTGCTTAAGACTGTTGAACTCGCAGCAACCTGGTTTAAAGCAGCCAGTTTTACCTCGTTCTACCCCTGTGCTCAGCGTAACATGCAGTGATCCTCTCCTCCCACATTTCCGCTGTCATCTGGTACAAATTAATTACCTGTAATAAAAAGACAAACGTGTAAATGCATGAATAGCAGCAGACAATCCAGTACCATGCAGGCATAGAGTAAGACCTTATGACAAATATATCAACACACTTGCGTATAAATGACGGTTAGTAAAGGCGGCTATCACTCACCCTCTTTGGCAGCAGCTCCTCCTCGGTCAAGAAGCCTGGTTTATGAACATCAGGGTCATAATCTCCATACTGTATAAAGCAATGGAGCAAAAATGAGTCAAACATCCCATTTCCTGAGAGATGTCCATGCAGTACAACTGCATCTTGGGAAACGTGGTCATTAATGTTCACTGCACATCCAGTGGCCCAATTGTTGGAGGATTAAGTGATGCTATTAGAGAGCTGAGAGGAAACGAAGACCACTTGGAAAGGTAAGAACTATTACTATAGTTGTTGAGGTACAAATTATATTGCATATGAATGAAGACGGCTATAAGTGCAATGGCATGGCCTATGTGCTGTGGGGAATTTTTTTTAGGCTAATGTAAAACTCTTTAAAAGGCCATGAAATATTGATGGGGTACCGCTTTAAAAAGTGGGTTGTCAATATCATTTATCTATAAAGAGTCATTGCATACTTTCAATAATAAATGGACATATTAGGTTTTTACGGTTTTTTATATTGATTTTTGCATGAAGTTAAAGTTCATCTCTATATATGTAAAACGATACATTTAATGTGAAAAAGCCTGGAAGATTCTTGTTCATATTCTTCAATCTATTTTAGAGTTTGTCCTTTTTACAATATTTTAAAATGCTGATTAAAAACTCTTGGTTTTATGGAGGGGTAGGAGTTGTGTTGGTGAAAGAGTTTACTAACTTTACACCCAATTAAGGAAATTCTCGAGCTCATCCAAGGAAGCTGACCAATCAGAGTAGACTGTTCTTTTAGGAAGGGCATCTTAAAGCTTCTGTTTATTTCAAAACTAAATCATAGACAAACAGCACTCTGCGAGCAGCATCATGTGAACTTTAAATAAAAATATAGTCTTCCATTTTTATGAAACAGACATTTACACCTCCAGATGCAGGAAGAGGGCCATCTGCATCATGAAGGACCCCACTCACCCAGCACACAAACTTGTTGCCCCGCTGCCCTCAGGAAAGAGGTTGAGGAGCATTAAGTGTAGAACCACTAGACTGAGGAACAGCTTCTACCCTGAGGATGTTACTCATGAATATTTAACCAGAATAATCACTGTGAAAAATCACATCATGTTGCTGCTGATCTGTTTCGTGTTGCTGCTGATCTGTTTCATGTTGCTGCTGATCCGTTTCATGTTGCTGTGTTCATTCGTGCTCATCTGCTCACACAGTTCGTGCTGCTGTTCGGCGTATTGTTTTTATGCTGTTAGTGCTTAGTGTATTATTTAGTTGATGTTTTTCTTAGTTCATATCTTGGATCTTATTACTGTTTTTCTTTTACATTTTACTGTTTGATGTAACTGGGACCCTGTGTACATAATTTTGTTCCACCCCATGTACCACATGTGGTGCGAACGACAAAGAAACTGAGTGACTCTGAAATACTGTTTAGTCTGTTTTCTTTGTTGTTAGTAATAAATGGCTTCTCATTCTGCATCTTTATTGTAGGAGAAAAAAAGGCTTAATCAACATATTTCCACAAATGCTGATAATCAACTTTAAGAGAAATATTAATTAATTATTTTCTCATGTCAAACAACCCGTCATCGACAAAACTCCAGAAAGTTCTGCATAATTTTGTTGTTTTTATTTGACGCCAAAAAAAGTGCTTTATCTGCCTCTTCACACGTTTCTTTTATTTTAATGCAAACAATTTTTGACCATATCTTGGCGGGAAAATAAATGCTCCCAAAAAACATAATCCTGTTTCTGACACCAAAATTTCACATTGCATCTGGAGTTCTCAAAATTTAAGTCCTTTTATTGTTGCTAAACATCAAACGTTGATGTGAGTTTTTGCTACTGTGCAACAATAATTACCTGTACAACCTTTGCATGATAATTTCTCTAAAATCATAACCACAGCACATTTAAGCAATGAACAGTTTATGGTGCATAATAAAGTTCATTACATGGTGTAGGAAAAAAAATAGTATAAGTGATTAAAAAAAATCACTTTAAAGTCACAACAAACTCATTTTGTTGTTCTTAACAAACATCCAGTTATTTTGAACATGACGATGTCCATTCTTTAATAATATATTCAACTATGACAGAATAATCGTTGATTGCATTTAAATTTTCATTACAAGAAGTGGAGTTGATGTGAGGGCACCAGTCTGAAATCACTTCTTATCCAACCTCACTTTCATAAGCTCAGTTTACTCTGCAGAGTCTGGAACATCAGTGCAGTGACTAGCAGAACTGAGGTGCTGAAGACTATTTAATTAGATCCTGTCCCCTCAGTTTCCATCACCTCTTCTACTCCCCGGGGTTTCTTACTCGTTTATTTAAACCTGCTAAATTATTCATGATATATGGACCTACTGAGGTATTTTGATATTGCTGGCTTGAGTTTAGGGAGATAGGGTAGTACTTTTACTGCAATATTACTCTCAAAAACTTCCTTATAAATTACTTTTCTCACAATTATTTCAAAAAATGCTAGGTGGAACCAAATAGCAGAGCTGGTGTCGACACTTTCATCTGTTAACAGTTGAGGCTGTTCGAGAGCTTTAATGAATGGTTCCCTATCAAAAGACAACTTTTTTTTTTGTTTGTTTGTTTTATTCAGACCATGTGGATAAAAACAACCATTAATGGCAAAATTGTGAAAATGTTAAGATTCTCACTGGCGTTGAAAAGCAATTCATTACTTTTGTGCATTTCTTCTTTAACTGCAAGATGTTTGGATGCATTTTTGTGCCTAAAGATCATTTTAGGATGCTGAATTAAAAGCGAGTGGTAAACAAACTCAGTTTATTTGATGTGCGATGTACATGAGAACGCTGTACAGTAATGTGCTCTGAAAAACGCATCAGGTAAAACGGACACAGCATATCTGGTGAGGAATTATCTGTTCACACAAATGGGAAATAATCAGTGTCGCGTTATAGAAAAGAAAAAGAAATGCATCTCCAAAGGGAACAGGCTTGCGGTATTCATATTAAATTTTCAAAGATTTTAGTTTAGGGCACCAGACTCATTGAAGCCTCTCATGAAACACAAAGATTCCCATCAGTGTTACTTATGCCTGTTTGCCTGTCACATTCAAAATGGATGAGCCGAAACAACCTCATCCCCTAGTGCTACACATGTCTGCAGATGAGACGCCCCCTTCTTTTTTTAAACACCAGCTGTTTAGTTGACGTTCTTGTAATACTGAGCATACTAAGAACTCAAATCACAAATAACTGGAACCTCCGAGGGCCTACGAAGATATTTAAAGCTGAAATAAACTGATTGTTTTGTTTGAAGGTCAAACAAAAACATCCACAATTAAATACACATATCTGCAGGATTTTAAATGCATGCTAGTAGAAATATACTGTAAGTATATTTCACTTACAAATACTGCAAAATTTGGAATGATCACATTCTAGAATTGCGCCGCTCAAGGTGGCTGCATGTTGGAGTAGCTGTTACTTTCATTCTGGGATATTGCTTTTGAAAACTTTAGTTCCTTTTTTTCTGTATGTCGATGGCTTTTTTCAGATGATGATGTGCAGCTGGAAGGATGTTTACTGAAAACCTTCAACTTTTGGACATTTTTTTTACAATTGGGAGCAGCTGATTAACATCTCAAAGCTCAAACTACTGCCCCAAATCCTAAATGAGTTGTAAAGGAGGTGCCGTGGATGCATCTCCGTCTACCTGGTGGAGGTGCTCAAGTGACTGCTGAGATCCTGGAGCTGGCAGGAAACACGGCTCATGACGACAAGCTGCTGAGAGGAGTGATCATCGCTCAGGGAGGCGTTCTGCCCAACATTCAGGAGGTCCTGCTGCCCAGGAGGACCGAGAGGCATCTGCAGCCAGTTTCTTCAGCTCCGATGTGGGACAGACTGTTGTGTGATGGACTATTGCGGGAAATCCTTCCTGCCCACAGCCATCAACATTTATAACAGCTCTTAATGAAACCAGGATAATGAGCTACAACATTTAATTTCACTTTGGGATTAATAGTGTTTTGAATTTAATTGAATTAGTGCTAGTTAAACTAAAATTATAGCTTTGTGGCCATGAATGATGCCTTTACAGACAAGCAGTCAACTTGCATTTAAATTGATCTCTGCTTCTATTCATGAATTAATTGGTATTTAAAAAATATCATACTTTTGAATTTATGACACTAGTGCAGCTGATTTTTGTTACGTTGAATAAATGTGTAAATACTTTATATTTTCATTATAATACACTATAACGTATTATATAAAAATACGTATTATATTCCCGTTTTTAGTATTTTACCCCATTTTATAATGTAGCTTGCTTTTATTTTGTTGTCGCTTTTTTTTAACTTTTCCTTTTATATGCTTTTTTTTATGACTATTGTTGTGTGTATCTCGCCTGTGGTTTTGTTTAAAACAGGTCTCTCTTGAAAATGAGTCCATGTGACTCAGACTAACTTGTATAAATAAAGGTTGAATGAATGAATATACAGTATAGATGGCTGTTTAGCACATCAAGTCATGACAACAGCAAAATAAAAGCTTTGTGGCATCACAGTTTATCCACCAAATTGGACAATTGCTTTCTCATTGGTCATGAAATAAAACAAAGGGAAGGAGAAAAATTGTGTGATGTTTAGCATAGTTGTCCGACAGCAAGTACGTCTATGGTTTGAAACTTTAATTTATACTAAGCTGTATACATAAATAAAGGTTGAATCTTGGCTGAGGCCTTTCTGTGTGGAGTTAGCATGTTCTTTCCGTCTATGCAAGTTTTCCCCAGTTTACTCACACAACCCAAAAGCACGCATGTTGGGTTAGTTTGCACTCTAAGGAGTGAGTATGTGAGCACGGTTGTGTCTTGTGTGTTTCTGTAATGGCCCTGTGATGGACAGATGACCTGTCCTGGGTGTCCCCTGCCTCTTGCTGGAATCTTGTAGTATGTCCATTACCATGTGCATGTTCCACGTACAACAGTTCAGGAGGATATGAGAAGAAAAATGTCTCTCAAAAACATTTCAACAGCAGTTGTACTTACCAAGAAGCTGCTGCCCCTTTACACCGCCAGCCAGTCGTACTCAATCTAATCAATGTTGACTTAAATAAATAAAACCAGACAGTTTTGCTGTTTCCAGAATGGGGGTGCCCACACCAGGGAGTGCAAGGCCCAAGTCGATTTGCAGATTTTTTTTAATCCACAGTCTCTTTTCAACTAGGCTTGCCAAATTATTATAGGAAAGCGTAGTCTAAGTGGTCTTGGTCAAATCTTTCAGGTGGCTAAATCCTGCCCGCCTGTCAAATGTGCACTGCAGTCTTCCCAATGTTTTCTAGTGGATTTCAAAAAGATGGGATCCTTCAAGCAAAACGCTTGAGATTGCTTGATGCTTATTAGGAGAGCTTTTCCCCCGGAACAGCAGCTTCTATGGACTGCAGGTAACTGGTTTAATCCTAAGCATGTAAACCAAAGTTTATGTATGCCTTTAAAACAGGAAAAATAAGTTAAATAACGCAAATAAAATATAGTTATATTGATTTGTTAAACTTGGTCTTTTCTGAACAACACTGGCCAGTTATAATGTAATTCCACCTCTGCCTTTAAAAACAGAGTTTTTAGGAGCAGATTCAGCAGATCAATTACAAAAAAATGTATTTTCTAAACCAGACAACTGTTTGTTTTCATATCCTAATGGATAAAGCTTTTTTTTTTTAAATATTTCCTAAACATTTTATCACCAAATGTTGGAGCTACTGGCTCTTCTAATGGGCCTTTTTTAATAACTGACCATCAGTCAAGATTATTATGGCAAAAATCTGCCTAACGATTGGTAGCTATATGACCGGAGAAGCATTCAAATGCAATAATCTAAAATACCACCAATTAGGCTCATCTCAGGACAAAGAAAAGGCACTCCTGATGAAAGAAAATCAAAAGTCAGTTTGGAGCTGGACTCCATGATGGAACTCAAAATCAATATGAGAATGGGCCGTCACATTTACTTTAGAGAAACTGCAACGACCTGACAGAATTTCATCCACGTTCTTGTTCTACTTTGCTCATGTCAACATGCACACCCTCAGGCCAGCCAACGAGCCATAATGATACGCACTCACCTGAGAGGCCGTCTGATCAGATCCCTGGACTACACTAATGAGCTCCTCTGAGACGGCTCTAAGCAGCTTCCAAATACCTGCAGGTATGTTTTAACTGCAGGAACCAGAGTCTGTCTTTAGGGCATTTTCCGCTGAAATATGAAGTGGATTTTACTTTTTATTTTAAATGCTATAAAACTGTAAATAATAAAATGCAAGGGATTTCAGTTGAGCTACTTGCGCTTGTGTCATTTAATTTGTCTTAGACTTAATAAACAATAAAAGGCAATACAGAAATGAATCGCATCTCCCAATGAAAAAGCACAACAACTTGGTAAACACTCGTATCTAGTTTCTTAGCTAGGTGAGCACTTTTATGCTGTTTATACACAAGTGGTGTTAATTAAATACCTAGTGGCATATTTAACTATGTTAAATGCCAGAAAGCAAACACTTTGCTCTGTAGCGTTACTGGAGATCAATGCACAACTTTTCCAAACTGTTGGTGCCGTTTCTTTAAGATGATCCCTTCATCACAGCGAGCAAACTTGTCCAAAAGTTTTTGACAATTGTTTTCTTAAGCAGGATGCTCTTACGGACACAACCTGAGCTAAAAACCTGCAGCCAAAAAGATTACAGGCCCGCACCACTGACCGCTGAGCTACCTCAGCCCCATACAAAACTTTTCCAAACTGCTGAATGAAGCAAACAGGCAGGTCATCTGAATCAGACATTTTTACTTTGCTTTGGTGTAGAGTGCTTTACATATTTTATATAGATAGAGAGGTATAGAGATAGATATAGAGATAGACAGAGATATAGATAGATTTATAGATATTTTTTTGTTTTGTTTTATTACTATTACTTAGTTTCTTTAATAGTTACTTGTCTCAGTTAGTGAAAGGTAATTAAAAGAAATATATGCACCCTTTTCTAAATAAGAGTAATGATTGTTAGCTAACACATTCTGTTTGCTCTCATGCACCGGACCCTGATGGTTTAGTATGAATACATTACACCCCTACTGTCTTCACTGATTTTCTTTACAATAACGATATTGAGTGAAATCAGAAGAAAATATAATTTAAAAAAAAAAACACCCAGTAAATTTCTCACCATGTGAAAAGTCCAAAAGATGAGACCAGATAGGAGAAGTTCTCGACAAATAACTGAATGCATGAACAAAACTTCTTGAAAATGACTAAATCAAATTACTAACCTTGGCATGGACAGCATAAGAAGCCAACAGCACGGATGCCTCTGGAGGACAGTGGATCTCTTCCTCGAGGATCTTCTCCTTAACCTAAAGACAAACTAAACCCGATCAGCTTTCACAACTCGCTTTGTTGCCTGAATGAACAAAGCCCTTGTCAGTTATGCGAACATTTATTTTACTTGATAAATAAGAAACAATTTCACGTAACACTTTGCGCTATTAGGTTGTTTGTAAAAGCACAATCAAATCTGTTATTTGATCAATGGGCACTATTTCACACACGTGAATCTTTTTTTTTTTTTTTACTTTAAATCAAGACTGCTTTCCTTCAGGATGTACTGAGCAGAATTTCTTCCTTCACTTTAGAGAGGCAAAGTAATACGAAAACATGAAGGACATTAAACGGAGAATATTTAAACTGACTCATATATGGTAGTATACAACTAAAAGTTTTATATTTTATGCTTTAGTAAGAAGTAACTAGAAACAAGTTTTGGACAGATGTGTGTTTGACAACCAGAACAGAATCCCTCTAACTCCTGATGGACGCTTGTGAAAATTACATTTAGCAAGAAAAAAAAGGAAAAAGAGCAAGTCAAGTAAATTCAACCTTACGTAAAATAAGAATAAGGGTATCCATCCATCCATTTACTTCTGCTTATCCAGGGTCGGGTCATGGGGGTAGCGGCTTAAGTAGGGAGGCCCAGACTTCCCTCTCCACAGCCACTTGGGCCAGCTCCTCCAGGGGAATCCCAAAGCACCCCCAGGCCAACCAAAAAACATAGTCCCTCCAGCGTGTCCTGGTCTTCCTCTGGGTCTCCTCCCAGTGGGACGTGCCCGGAACACCTCACCAGGGAGGCGTCCAGGAGGCATCCTAACCAGATCACCGAGCCACCTCAACTGGCTCCTCTCGACGTGGAGAAGCAGCAGCTCTGCTCTGAGTCCCTCCCGGATGACCGAGCTTCTCACCCTATCTCTAAGGGAGAGCCCAGACATGCTGCGGAGAAAACTCATTTCAGCCGCCTGTATCTGTGATCTTGTTCTTTCGGTCACAACCCAAAGCTCATGACCATAGATGAGGGTAGGAACGTAGATCGACCGGTAAATTAAGAACTTCACCTTTTTGACTCAGCTCTCTCTTCACCATGACAGACCAGTACAGCGCCCGCTTCACTGCCATTACCGCACCTATCCGCCTGTCAATCTCTCGCTCCATTTTTCCCTCATTCGTGAACAAGACCCCAAGATACTTAAACTCCTCCACTTGGGGCAGGACCTCCTCCCCGACCCAGAGAGAGCACTCTACCCTTTTCTGGCTCAAGACCATGGCCTCGGATTTGGGGGAACTGATCCTCATCCCTGCCGCGTCGCACTCTGCTGCGAACCGCTCCAGTGAAATCTGTAGATCATGACCTGATGAAGCCAATAAGACCACATCATCTGCAAAAAAACAGAGAAGTGATCCTAAGGCCACCAAAATGGATCCCCTCAACACCTTGACTGTGCCTAGAAATTCTGTCCATAAAAGTTATGAACAGAATCTGTGACAAAGGGCACCCTTGGCGGAGTCCAACTCTCACCGGGAACGAGCCCGACTTACTGCCAGCGATGCGGACCAGGCTCTGACACCGGTCATACAGGGACCTAACAGCCTGTATCAAAGGACCCGGTACCCCGTACTCCTTATAGGGTTCCCCAAGGGATGTGGTCGAACGCCTTCTCCAAGTCCACAAAGCACATGTAGACTGGTTTGGCAATCTCCCCACCCTCCAGGACCCTGCTGAAGGTGTAGAACCGGTCCAATGTTCCACAACCAGGACGAAAATCACACTGCTCCTCCTAAATCCGAGGTTCGACTATCCAACCGACCCTCCTCTCCAGAACAAAAAATAAGGACATATTCTAGTAATTACAGTTTTTTTGTTTCCCTTTTTTTTTTTTTTACCTATTTAGACAAGTTATTTTTATGTTTATTTTACCAGTAAGACAATAATTAAGAGTTAACACCTATACAGAAAGCAAAGGCAGTAAGTGTTTTACTTGTCAATGGTTAAACAACCTTGGTTGTGTGTTTACCATCTAAAGAACTTCTTTATGGTGTTAGACTGTTGACCAATGTTCTGTGGAAAATTCCTTCAGTTGTAGGAGATAATGACTATTTTACTGTACACGCAGCTCATTCGCAGCCATGCGCAGGACTTCTGAAACAGGACTTAAATCTGTGTTGTGACTTGACCTTTTCTACAAGCCTGAATTTCTGATTTTCTTTGCAGTTTGATGAGGCTTGTTAATATGCTTGGGATCATCAGCTTACGGTAAAGTTCACTTCCAGGTCAAGTTTAACTTTCAGGTAGATAACCCCGCATCATATGTGAGCACTCTTTGATCAAATCTATAATTTAGACCTGGAACTGTGACTGCAAGTTCATCCCACGGCAAAGCAAGTCCAATTAAGAACTTTTTCCTCACTATGCTTCACAGGTGAGATTCTTCCCCTAAAAATATATTGTTTGGTCTAAAGTTTAACGTTACGACTGAAAAGCAAAATGAGGGTCATATACTGTATATGCTAACATGTTCACTAGCTAGTAATTATTTTTATTGTTTCTCAACAGCAAACATTTTATCCTGTCCTTTTTTTATTCATCAGTACAATCCCAATCTAACTTCAATTTTATCTGCTTCAACACCAACAGCACAATAACTTTATTTTTCTTCATTTGTTAAAATGATGAGGCGTTTATAGCCTTATTTTGGAAATAAAGCTTTGCTTTTGGGTTGAATTTAGTGGCGATGATCAGTAATGAACAAACTGACTGAAACTGTCAGATTTCTTGCAGATGAATAATTTACTTCAAAATGGTTTGGGTTTAAATTTGAGACTGACTGACCAAATATATTATTAGCTTGGAGAAGATGAATGCATGGTACTTGAAATATAATGATTTATGATTTATTGCAGCCTAAATAGTCCTTTGACATACTGATGTTGCAAATAATGATTAATTTTCAATATATTGTGCAGCCCTCCTGTAGACTGCGAAATATAAAAAGAACCAAGTGTCTGTAAATATTGGAAGTGTCTATAGGATAAACCTTAATTTTCATGACTGAATAGCTTTTTAAATGCTGGCAAAATGTATGAATTGTTGCTAAGTTTAGACATTTATACAAATTGTGTAAAATTAATATCCTAAAACTGAACATGAAATATCAAAGTTCATGCTCAGTAATACAGGTAGAAAATCTGACGTTTTGTTCTTCATCCAAAGGACTTCATCAGTCCAAGGAGCCATAACAAACTGAGTCACACAAGCAACAAACCCATAGTGGACCAACCAGTTTGCTGATAAGATGGTTTCTGGGGCCCGTCCTCTCCCACTATGATGCAGCTGCATCCAAAGTGGTTCAAAACATCAAATTTCATTCTGAATAATCTGGTGGTGGTTGTTATTGTTGAGATGTTTCGTCCTTCATCCAAAGGACTTCTTCAGTCCGAGGAGTCGCAGCAAACCCACACTGCTTGTGGGACTGAGTTTGTTGTGGCTCCTTGGACCGATGAAGTCCTTTGGATGAAGGACGAAACGTCTCAACAACAACAACAAAAAAAAATGTCCAGATGACCTGACTGAACTTTGGTGGATTAACATGAAATAGCTACAGGGGCTTAACAGCACCAAATAATGTTTTGTATGGACAATCAAGGAATCTGTGGTACTTCTGCTTAATTCTGTCGGTGAATTCAGTTCAGTAAACATGCCTAATCCAAGTTGTCTTTAGCTTAAAGCTAAAGGAAAATCTCTTAATTCAGAAGGACAGATCTTACCAGGTGTCTCTTTCTTAAGCTAATATCGAACTGAATGAAGACTTGAATAGCTACATACAGACCACAAACCTGTGGTTACATGAGGTAAATGTTCTTTAACACTCATTACATGAGTGGACAATTTAAAGCTTCAGACCTTGTCATTTGCAAAGTCCGTCATGCTTTCTTCTCGTCTTGAGCTAACGAAGGTGTGAAGTCAGAGGTGACACTTTCTAATCATAACCAGAACTAAGAGGTGGAGGCTGATATCCCATTTTCAAACGAAACACGCTGCTGCTCCAATCACAGGCTGACGTGACTAAGATGAGCATGTGTCTGTGCAAGTGCTCTAAAATGCAGGCGGTTTGGGCCTGAGTGCGTGTATCTGGATGGGTGATCATTTCTGATAAGCACTAATCCAGCTGTCACGCTTCTGACACCATCTGAACCGGGGCCTCCTCCTGACATTACGGGAGTTAATGAGAGAAAAAGAAATAAGACGACAGGCAATGCGATGCGCTACCTTTTTGTATTCTTCTCCCATTGTAGCTGCGTATTGCACTAAATGTTACTGTACATGTTTATGCAATATTTTGCACTGAAATAAAACCCATTTCAAATGCATTAAAATAAATTAAGCACACATAAGCATTTTCTATTTAAGTAGATCTGTTTAAACGTTGGGGAACAAAAGTGCCAAACAGTAACTAAACTAGCATAACGGGCTTGATATTATGAAACTGTCATGGGAACGTGTATCCCACAGGGAACATGTCACTAACCAGGTCAAAAGCAGAGCCTTTAAAGCCTATAATTAATAAATGTGGTTGGTGGCACTGGACAGTGGAAGAACGGTAACAAATCTCATCTCAAGCTGGAGGAATGGTGTAGTAGACTTTGTAGGAATTCCTCTGGAGAGCATTAAAAGGATATAAAGGGCAGCAGTAATGTGTTGTGCACTGATTCCACATGGCTGCACACAATCAGACCAGGACAATGGAAACAAAGTGTATTACAGAGGGTTCTGCTGAGCAACTTTAAGAAACCCTGTGAGCGTGTGCCCCCTGTTGGCGCAGGATGACGATCAAACTGAAGCTGCAGATAAAGATACAAGCACATAAGCCAAAGCTGAAATGAATAATCTTAAATATGCAGAGCATCTTAAATGCTTAGGGTTAAAGGTCAACTGTTTTTTATATTGTGCCTATTAAAATGCAAATAATGTAACCGTAGTATTTTTTACAGCAGGTCAGCTTTCAAGAATATTTTCTTTCCAAGCTTTATTAAAATTCCTTTTTGGGAAATTTGGAAAAAGTGTCTGCCCACCAGCCAAACTGTAATCCCAAACTTCTTGTGAGAGACGTGCATGTATCTCAGCCTGTAGAAATTTAATTTTAAGGCCAAATTTCCTGCTTCTCCAAATAATGTTTTCCACCCTCTCACTGCTCCAGAGAAACATGGATAACTTCTGTAAACAAGACTGACAGCCAGATGTGTTGAGCTATTACACCAAAAGCTCAATATCATAACATGTTTCTTACAAACATCTGTAATACAGTAGCTCAGTAGCAGTATATTCATGAACAAAATAAAAGAATAATGCTGTGATTAGCTCAGCATCAACAGCAGAAACAATCCAGTGAGCTTTAGAATGTGGAAGAAAAATGTGTCAGCAATTTTGCTAAATTTAAGCATTTTATGCTTGACCAAAACTAAAATCTCAAATATCTTAACTCAATATTATATTTTGGGCAGCACGGTGACTCAGTTGGTAGAGCTGCTGCCTCTCAGCGAGCTGGTCGCCGGTTCAAATCCCAATCGGGGAACTTTCTGGGTGTAGTTTGCAAGTTCTAAGTGCATGCGTGGGTTTTCTCCGGGTACTCCGGTTTCCTCCCACAGACCAAAAACATGCATGTGTCCCTAGGTGTGAATGAGGGAATGAATGGTTGTTTGTCTCGTTTGTCTCCACGTGTCCCTGTGATGGACTTGTCTAGGGTGTCCCCGCCTCTTGCACAGTGACTGCTGGATATGGGCACCAGTGAACCCCGTGACCCAAAAAGGAAGAAGCAGGTAAAGATAATGGATGGATGAACACAGAATACAAAGACGACACCAAAAGCAGGTTAGTAACACGTTTGCTTACTTGTAGGAAGAAAAGATGCTGACTGATATCTTGTACTAGTTCCTCTTCAACACTTTCTGGGTAAAACTTTGCCAGGAAGTGAAATGTGAGTGGCTCTTCTTTTGGCACCTCTTGATCTAAAACCTATAAGACAATAAATCAAAATCTCCTCAGTGAATACAGAGTTTAACACACACACACATATATTCATTCATTCATTCAACCTTTATTTAGACGGGTAATCCCATTGAGCCTCGAGGACTCATTTACAAGAGAGACCTGATTTCAACAAAGAAAAAAGACAACAATGGACAACAGCAACAACAATAAACAATTTTAGAAAGTCATACTGCAGTTTTTTGGGGTTTTTTTTACAAATAGGATGGCTAAAAGAAAGTGGTAGCAAAAAACAGCTAGATTCTAAGGTGAATGTAGAAAACTATATACAGATAGATAGATAGAGATAGATATATAAATAGTAGATATATATATAGATAGATATAGATAGATATAAATATATGGAAATGGTAAAACGAGCTTAACCTTCTTCTTCATCTTTAGCCAAGCCACAGTGTCCTTTATGATGTACTGAAGCCCAAAGAACCAGGTTTCCCTCAGACCCAGAGTCCGGCACACCAAATCAAAAAGATCTTTTCCTTTCCACTTAACCTGAAATAGGATGTTTTTCATTCCATTATTCTCATAAGAAATATGATAAGTAACCTTCTTTTGTGAAACTTGACACTTACAGAAAAACACTACACAGGTTTCTTTAACAAAGGCACCAAGGTACATACAATAAAAAAAAAGAAACGAAACTAGAAACATCCCCACACAAATCGTTTATGAATCTTCTAATAGATTATATATTTTATTTTATTATCTTTGTATACAACCCTGAATCCAAAAACAAAACTTTGGACGTTGTGTAAAATGTGAATAAAAACAGGATGCAATGATCTGAAGATCTCGTTTGTTGTTCTACATCCTGTATATACTTTCCAGCATTAATGGTGTTTTTTTCAGACACCATAAGAGCAGCGAGCTTTTGAAATGTGTGCTGATGACAGACTGGATGGTCCCTTACCTCTTTAATACAGAGGACATTGCATTTGTGCTTCCCCCCCACAAAAAAAAAGAATAAATAAATAATCAAATTTCAATTTGTTTGACCACAGAAAGGCTCTCCACTTTGCCTCAGTCCGTTTTAAATGAGCTTTTACCCAAAGAAGATGGATGGTGTTCACCTATGGCTTCTTTTTCTGCGTGATAGAGCTTTAACCAGTGTTTGTGGATGGCATAGTGAACTGTGTTAGATGATTTGTGGAAGTGTTCTTGAGCCCATGTGACATCCAGAACACAGTCGGACCTGTTCTGGTGATACCATGAAGTGCAAATGATGGGATATTCAAAAGTCTTTAAAATTTTAAGTTCCCGTGTCTTTTTTTTGTTTGTTTGTTTGTTTTATATGTGGTGTTGCCATCAAACTTTAAATTATATTTCCCACCAAAAAAAAAAAAACGTTTGTTTGTTAAAACATTTGATATGTTTACTGTGTTCTATTATACTATTAAGAACAAAACAAACAGAATATTAAGACCTTAAAGATGGATTTTAGGCTAATAAAACAATAACAGTAATAATAATAATTCAAAACGAGGCAGAATTAAAGTTTACTTAGGTAACTTACTTACATGCATTTGCTCAACCTAATCATTCCAACACTGGAAATAGAAATCAGAAACTAACATTTTGTGGCTGTGTATAATTACCATCTGCTAACCTTGGAGGAGTTCCACCCTTTTAAATACAGACATGGAACTCTGCTAGTTATTCATTTCAAATACACCACCAACAAAGTGATATAGCTGAAATTATAACCCTTTAAACTCAATCTGGAGATGGGTGCATTTTAACAAGTTTTGGCAGGAATGAAAGCTTTGCTGCTGACTTAAATATATCAGATTGCACTGCAGCAAAAACGTTAAAACTCCTGTTAGTTCGTGGAGTAAAACCACTGCGTAACTTTGTTATTTGCTGCCACCTAACGTCAGGAAGTGAAACGTGCCCTCACGTGTAAACAGAGTTGTAGTTACAGGGCGAGCTGATGAATATTTCAGTGGTGCTCGGGCAGAATCACATGTAATGTACAGATGAAGACTTGTTTTTTTAAACTCACCTCGCAGCTGAACTCCATGTCTGACTCCATGGTGCAGATCCTGACTTTAAAGTTCTTGGCTTGTTTTCTCATCAGAGAGTTGAATCCCATCTTTGCTGCTAGGGCGCTTGCCATGGCGACAGTAAGCTTTACTAGATAAAAGTACTTCCGCTTTACCCTTTAAAACTGAGTAAACTAAGACCAAAATAACAAGCTAGTTTGCATGTTGTTACACATGAGTACATGTGACTTTTCAGCTGCTGTGGATATTTGTAAGACAAGTCTCATTCAAGTTTTAAGACTTTTTTTATGTCATATCTGAACTGTAAAAAAAAAATAAAAAAAAAATCGTACATTACTACTAATTTACTGGGAGAGAAAAACTCCCAGTACAAAAAAACAACAACTTACGCTGCCATGGGCTGGATGCTAACGATAGCCAAAATGAGTTAAAACATAAGTTAGCTGACTAATGTTAGCAGCATTTAAAAAATAAGACTTACGTCTTTAAATTAGCACGTCTCCGCACAGAAGTGCTTTACGATATCTAGCAGTATGAGGAATCTTTAGTCCTACGCTTTATCTCCAAAAACTTTGAACGAAAGCATCGCTAACCGCAGCTAACAACTTGTTGGCTACTTATAATAAAGTAGTGCTGCATTCGCGTACTGTTTAAAACATAGTAATTAACGTTTAAATACCAAATAAATGTTTGACTGGAATCAAAGACGCCTAAACCAAAACCTATTTGTCGTAAATGCAATTTAGGTAAAACAATATTTAGGTATTTACAAAAATCTATTGTTTTGCCAAGTTCAAATAACAGCTCTCCCAAATAAAATCCTTCATAGTAAGTTTTTGCACGTAACCTGTATAGTATTCAAAACACAATAACATTTATTTTTAAGCCGTCATTTGTTTTGTCCTATAAAATATATAATATATAATTCATTGTCCTTCAGTTAGATTCTGAAATAATTTTAAAAAAAAAATGATTACAAAGCTTTAGTTCCCAGGGAACTTGAAGGCAGCACTAGTTCTCCGTAACTGAACTACCAATCAGACTGCAGCACCCGGTACAGTCCCCGCCCTCAGTTCGGCCCCTTGCGCCATAAAGAGGCGGGGCTAAAGCAATGAGGTAATGGGGTAAACAGTAAAAATGGCGACGTCTGTAGCCAAAGAGGAGCAACCGAGTCTAAACGGGATTATTTCCGAGCCCCAAACACAAAAATTGACAGATCTGCCGACTGAATTGCTTGAACATATTCTGTGCTTCCCTGTCCTCAAACATGTCGACATTTGTAACGTTTCCTGCTGCTGCAAACGGCTACACGATGTTTGCCATGGAAGGGGCAAGGTCTGGGAACATCAGTACAAACTCAGGTGCTCCACATTTTGTGACATTTTATGCCGAGTTCTGGTCTGTGGTGTATGTGTTTGGTTTTGTCTAAAAAGAACAATCTTGCTGATGGTGTTTAGGATCCTGAAGTCATCAGTGTTTGTGCTCGTTTACTCAGCAAAACTGCCATCCTGTTATTTTTTTTTTTTCTGCTGATGCACCAAATTTGTCCTTGCGTTGTAAAGCCTCTCCTCTGCAGACATCTAAGCATGGGAACTTATGCTTTTAAGATTCCCATTGGTTAAATGTATACTATGTTCTCACTGCATGAACAGCATTTTAGTTGACCTTGTGTAGTCCATGAACTGCACAAGCAATCTGATTGGCTTTTTGGTTCTTTTTGCAGGAGCATGCATGATACACTGTACTGTTCTCAGGATTCCCGTACATGTTTCTGAAATGCCAAACCTGCTGTCTTCATCAACAGATGGCCAAGACTGCAGAGGTTTTACCGTCACAATGAGAGCTGTGACTGGCTTAGAGAGTACAAAACACGCCACAGAGTTGGTATACAGATACAGAGGACCGTGGAGTCGATCTCAAAACGATTCTTCACAGAAGTTGTAAGTAATCTGTTTTAGATTGTTGTTCTCTGTTAAATCAATCACTGATATTGCTTGTGTGAGCTGATTTGTCTTCGGTGCATGCTTGTGTAAGGAACTGTGAGTTTTCTATGGTGCAAACTAACCCAGAGATCTGTAACTCAGCCTTGCGTTGGCCAGGTGCTGGGAGACAGCTTTGCAGAGATCGAGTCACTTGGCATGCCAGAGCACTTCTGCGAAGATGAGCTTCTGTTCATACTCAACTCTGACAAGAGGTGAGAGCAATATTAAGCCTTATTACAAGAGCCCTTGTTGTCTTACACCCTGTCTACTGGACGTCTTGTTCTCTATACACCACTACAGGAAAAGCTTGACTCTGAAATACTATGCAAAGAAAATCCTTTACTTCCTGAGGCAGCAGAACATCTTGAGGAGCCTGAAGAGCTTCCTGGAGCAGCCTGCCGAGCAACAATCAGCTTTAGAAGGTGATCCGTCAGCTCTGGACATTCACTCAGTTCTGTTAGTTAATGCTGGTATCAACAGTATATACTAGAGGTTGGATCGACTAGTGGATTCTAGGACATCTCGCGAGTTTTTTAAATTTCACGTCGACTAGTCGCAGTCGGTGATTGTGGCGCCGGCCGCTGGTTACAAAACGGATTCTTCCAAGCAGATGGAAGGCGAGGAGCAGGCAAAGTCTTCCCAAACACGTAGAAATTCATCAACAGTGTGGAAGTATTTCACTAAAGATTATGTTGTTTTTAGTTTCATTTGTTCTAATCCTCGAAATAAAATAAAAAACTGGTGCGCTCCACTGGAGAATCCACCACCGCGCAGCACCGCTGATGGAGAGTCTATCACTGCTGCGGTGGCTTATTTTATTTAGTTGCTTAAATAAAATAAAACTAACTTTTGTAGTTTAATAATAGTTTTGGTTTTCCTATGACTTATTTGCAGTATGATAAATGAGCATAAATATTCACTACTGATGTTTTGTTCTTTTTTTTTTTTTTATAATAAATGACTATTTTTAGCGTCTTGAGCTATGACGTCATCAACTAGTCGACGTCGACTCAACTATTATCATGTTAATGTCAACTTTAAAAAATATATATGTAGTCGTTCAATCCCTAGTATATACGCCTTCTATTTATTATTATAAACATTGCAATGCAGTGGAAATTGTTTGAAAGGCTTTAGAGCTTTTCTAAAACTTGAAATAAATTTTTATGGATGAAAGATGAAACGTCTCGGCAAAAAAAAAAAAAAAAGAAACTGTTCAGATTACCTGACTGAACATCGTTGGATTTTTACCTGGATTATTGAGCATGAACTTTGGTTTTCAAATGAAATGTTTTGTTGAACATCACAGATCAGTTTCTTTATTTGCAAAAAGGTATCTTCTCAGGAACAAACATTGTCATTTTTGTTAGTAAAATGGCCAGTGATACTAAAACCTGTGGGTTGTAGTGGCCAAATTATTCAAACGTTAAAGTCAGTGAAGTCAGACTGAGCTTTAGATTCAGTTTTCAACAGTAGGTGGGTTTTTAGGTGAAATCTATTCTCTAACTTACTTTTTCTGCTCTAAAGTAAAGTGCTATCATTACACTTACAATGGCAAAATTAGTTCTCTGCATTTAACCCATCACACCTGAGATACACACAGGTGGAGCAGTGGGCAGCTATGTAGGCACCCAGGGAGCAAATGGAGACTGGGTGTCTTTCTCAGAGACACCCTTTCTTTAAAAAAAACATTTTTTGGAGTCTGCAACTTTTCAATAAAACCCTGAAAAAAAATAGGAAAATTTTCATCATTGTTATTGTTTATTTAGGTGCATCTACCCCATCTCTGCCCCCAAAGCATATATATCTGTTGTCAATATATATTTTATCTTTTAATATTTTGCGTGAAGTCAGAAAACCAAAAAAGGCAGAAATGATAAAGTACCGTGCATCCTCGCATTAATTACAAAAAATCTGAAGATTCTGGTTTATTTTTTAATGACTTCAAGGATTTTCTTAGTAGAAATTTTACAAAAAAAAATCTTACTGGTAATTTTCCTAAACATGAGTGATTTCTGTAAAAAAAAATAAAATAAAAAATTGATAGTCTCGCAATAACATAATAAGGAAAATCAGAATAAACTAAAAGTCTTTCTTATTTTAGTCATGAATCCCAGTAAACTACCAAAAAAAGTGAATTTGCTGTTGCCTGATTCAGAGGTTGAATCCTCAGAAACTGCAGCTTACATTTGGTATTTTTCCCCTTCACTGTATTTTGCCAGCTGCAGACATGGAAAACATTCTGTTAGATCATTTACAGAATTTCTCTTTCAAATAACTTGGTTGCGTTTGCCCCTTTAGGTGCTGTGCTGGTGGATCAGTACTGTAACCCGCTGGCTGACGTCACACTGGACGGCATTTCAGTGCAAATAGATGAAATTGCAGAAAAGGTGAAGAAGATGCTGAGAATCAAAAACCCATCTCATTCCAGCCTGCGCGGTGCTAATGGTGGGTTTTTAGAACTTATTTGTGTTTTTAGGTTTATTATTTTTCAGGCAGAAAATATATCGTGTTACTAATAAATGAACTTGCAGCAAATTAGCAGTGAATCATTTTCAAACACGAGCAGCACAAACATGTTTTATCTTGAACGTAAACCTCTGGGGACATTTAATTCTTGTGGGTGTTGTAGATGATTGTGTCATAGAGGACTATGAGCTCCAGAGGCAGGTGTTGGGCGCCCTGAACTCTGTTTTGTACGAGCAGCTTCAGTACAAAGGCAACGAGTGTGACTACTACAACCCACTCAATTCTTACATCCATCAGGTAGGACTTCTAAAAAAAAAAAAACATTTTTTGGAGTTTGCAACTTTTCAATAAAACCCTGAAAAAAAAAAGGAATATTTTCATCATCGTTACTGTTTATTTAGGTGCTACTACGGCGTACAGGGATTCCCATCAGCCTCTCTGTTCTTTACATGACCCTGGCTCGAAAGCTGGGCATCCAGTTGGAGCCTGTCAACTTTCCCAATCACTTCCTGCTGCGCTGGTGCCAAAAACCAACAGGGTGTGTATGACTGGGAAAAAGAAAATTCTGCAGCTCTTTCTGTAAAATGCCAGCATGACAGTCTGTTTATTGATATCTGCTAAAAAGCAAGAAAATCTCATGTTCGTATTCTTATTTTAACTACGGTAGGCCCTCGAATATCGCAGGGTTGCGTTCCAGACGCCACCACGACAGGTGAAAAACCACGAAGTAGGAACACAGTTTATTTTAGAATTTATGTACCAATATATATTAAAGCTTTGTAAGCCCTTCCCACACTCTTACAAAGTTCTTAACAATGTTCTAAACTAGGGGTCTGCAACCTTTACAATCAAAAGAGCCATTTTACGCCTTCGTTCACTAAATTAAAAGTGTTCAGAGCCGCAACAACATGCTACAACTGTGGTTATCAACTGGTGGCCCATGGGCCACTTTAGGTTTGTTGGAAGGAGCTTTTGTGGCCACTAGGGGTGACATTATAAAGATAAAATAACTAATAATTTATATTTTTACAGTTTAAGACAAATGAAAGACCAGATTCTTTTAAAGAGAGGTTTTTTTTAGTTAATAAAAACTATGAACTACGCAGACCTAGGTAATATTTTTAATTGTGGAAAAATGTAATTAAGTATAGAAATAAAGCATAAAGTTAAAGTGGGTATGCTTTACTCCTTGTACTTGTTCCAGTACTCACATATTTGCAAAATAAATGACAGGAAAATGGCTAAAACTACCGGTAATCCTTTTTTGTTGTTTGTATAACAACCAGTAAAATCCAGTTTTATGTCAGTTTTAGTCAAAAGCTTGAAAGAGCCGCTGCACAGAGACCAAAGAGCCACATGTGGCTCTAGAGCCGCAGATTGCAGACCCCTGTTCTAAGCTCTTAAACCTACGTAATTTTAACAATATACAGTATATGTACTATACAGTACTGCAAAATTGTATATGGGTACCATATCTTACGACTTGTGACTTATACGCCGGAGTAACGTGTACAGCATATCAGTCCAAAAATGTCTAATAAAGTGAAAAATACATAAATAAGTCGCTTTGCCGTAGAGGTCGCATTTATTATGTGTCGCCGCTGACCACCTGGAAACACGGGCCGGTGTTGTGCCAAAAATCGATTGGCTACCAAATGGTGGCTGCGGGAGTGTGCACAGGAGGACTTTAACAAGAATTTAACAAAATTAACACTTAAAAACAATTATTAGTTTGCTCGACATTATAGTAAAGGTGTGTCTCAGTTGAACTTCTCCTTAATAAATGCACTTCAATGGTCAAATCAGCTGCATTTCGCCTGGGCGCTGGTGTTCGTCCCCACTCCGCCGCCAGAGCAGGGAGGGTTTTTCACGTATCGTGGGACTTCAGGGGACAGATCTCCCACGATAAACGAGGGGCTACTGTAATATTTTTCTGCTTATGTTTTAAGTAATAATTGCTTTATCTTAAAAAAAGTTTTTCTGATGTTTGTCTTTTCACAGTAATCCAGGTTTTTATGCTGCTGTAAAAGCAGAGATTTTCTTATCTAATGGATTTAGGAGAAAATAAAAAGCTCTGACACGCAGACAAATGCTCAGTTTTCATTAAAGCAAATTGTTATTGTGGGTGAAACGTTTTAAAACCTCATTTTCTTATTTATTTATTTAATCTATGCAGCCCGCTACAGGTCAAGCGGTTTTCCATCACAGCACATGTCACAAGTATTGTGATGTTTTCTACCTGCAGGAGTGAGGACATCTATGACTTTGTTTACGTCGACGCGTTTGGGAAAGGCAAGCAGCTGAAGGCGAAGGAGTGCGAGTACCTCATCGGCCACCAGGTGACGGCAGATTACTACAGCTCCATCAGCACCACAGAGGTGCTGCTCAGGATGGTGGGAAACCTGCTCAACATTGGCAAAAGAGGGTGAGACATGTGGAGCGATAGCTGAAGGAAGGCTAGATCCAAACTTCTGGCATGGGCTCTTCTGATATGACAGGAGTGATGTTTTATTTCTTATTTTTCAGTTTTAATTCATCTTGCCCTCTGACATGATCAGAGTCTTGTTGCACCATAAAGATCAAACTGAATAAAATAATAGAACGTGGTTGATGTCTACTAGAATTAAATGAACAAATTATAGCAGTTTCCTGTTTAAGTCACATTATCTGCACTGTTTTGTTTTTTTTTTTTTCCAGTGAAGGCAATGAGAAATCCTACCAGCTGCTGAGAGACTCTCTGGATCTCTACCTCACCATCAACCCTGATAACGTGCAGTACTTGCTGCTGCAGGCACGCCTCTACTTCCACCTGGGAATCTGGCCAGAAAAGGTCAGGAGACACAATCTGCTGCTTAGAATAAATCTGCTCTTCGATGAGGCACGTTGAGATTATCTCAGTTTAATAAATCAATTTAATTTTGGTAGAAGGATGTTAGAAATGCGGCTGCCAGGAAGAAGACAAAGAGGAGGTATATGGATGCAGTTAGAGAGGACGTGGAGGAAGTTAGAGTGAGGACGGAGGATGCAGAGGACAAAGCTGGAGGAGGATGACTCGCTGTGGACACCCCCTGCAGAGGGGAAAGCCGAACGAAGAAGATAAAATGATACTCCTGTTAGCGTAAAACGTTATGCTAATCTTTGCTCCATAAGTTTTTCTAAGTATGTAGATTAACTTCACTCTGAGCTTTGAATTGTCCAAATGTTTATGAAGCATTCACTCTATCGTGATCCATTTTTTTCTTCTGTACGTTTTTCGGCTTCTATCTCATTCCACAGTTTTTGTGTTATTCCACCAAGTCATGCATCAAAACGTTCAGCTCTTTCTATGACTTTTGGTATTGGTGCAACTTTAGCTTTTTGAAATATTTAGCCTTTTCTGCCACTTTTTTTTCCTCATAGAAAATGAATTGAGCTCATTTTACATCCTTCAAATGTTTAGATGTTTACCTTTTACTACTCTTTCACATTTTGTTCTGGTTCAGCATCTTTCAGCTTCCTTGTGCAAATTTAAACTTTTTTTCTGCTACTTTCAGCTATTTTTTTCAGCTGTTTTGTGCTCCTTTCAGATTATTGCTGCTAACTACATTGTTGTGCTTCTTCTAACTTCTTTCAGTTAATTTAATCTTGCTATGCTCCTTTCAGTTTGTCTTCAAGTTTCAGCAGTTTCTACTATTTCAGCTATTATTCAGCTGTTTTATGCTAATAGTCTTTTCAGCTAATTCCACATTTTTCATACTCATTTAAACTTGTTTCAGCCTAATTCAACAAAATATTGCTCTCTGCGCTACTTTCTGGTGATTTAAGCTTCTTCCTGCCTTTTTTAAGCTTCTATTCAGCTGTTTCTTGCTAAGTTCTGCTTTTTCAGATAATTACACTTTCTTGTGCTCATTTCTGCCCCTTTCAGCCTACTTGAGCAAACTTGTTTTTTATTTTTTTTTTTTCCTGCTAATTTAAGCTTGTTCTACCTTTTCAGCTACATTTTTAGCATTTTTAGTTAACTTCAGCTGTTTTCAGATGAATTCAAGTTTTTCATGGTGCTACTTTCAGCTTAATTAACTTCTTTCTGCCAGTTTCTACTTGTTATGCTCCTTTCAGCTTCTGCTAGTTTCATTTATTTCAGCTACTATTTAGCTGTTTTATGCTAAATTTAGCCTTTTCAGCTAATTCCACATTTTCTTTTAGCTAATTTCAGCTTTGTCCGCGCCCTTCTGGTAGTTTAAGCTTCTTTCTGACTTTTCAGTTACTTTTTACTAATTTCAGCCCATTTTTTTTAGCTAATTTGCTCATTTTTGTGCTCAGTTCTGCTTAATTTAACCTAATTCTGCAAATATATTTGTTCTGCTTTCTTCTGCTAAGCTTTTTTTTCCCCAAATTCAGCTACACTTCACAATGTTTTTAGCTAATTTCAGATGTTTTTCAGCAAGTTCTTCTGCAATAAGCATGCACACTGCATTTTCGCAGGAAACACAATTTCTCTAGTTGCCCGTAAATACTTTATTTTTATTTTTTTTTCAATTCTAGGTATTAGACATCCTGCAGCACATTCAGGCGTTAGACCCCTCCCAGCATGGGGCAGTGGGTTACCTGGTGCAGCACACTCTGGAACACATCCAGCACAAGAAGCATCCGGTGACACCTGAGGTGAAGCGGCGTAGTGCTCCAGAACACCTGGAAGTCCAGTATTCAGTCGGTCTTATCATGAAACACAAGCGGTAGGTCGCACTGAGAGGCCATGCAGAGAAACTACAAACTCTTCCTGTATTCACATTTGTTCATCAAATCTGCTCCAGGTCAGGTTATAATTGTGTGATCTACGGTTGGGACCCTAAATGCACCATGAGCCAGGAGTGGATCACCACCATGAGGGTCCACCAGCTGTCCAATGGAGCCAACCAACCTTTCTACAACGTGCTTGTGCAGGACGGGACGTGCCGTTACGCAGCACAGGGTACGCCTCATTTCAACAGCACGGTGGCTGGGAGGGAAAATATCCTTATGATAAACTCATTTAGCTTGTTTTTATTTATTTTTTTACTTTTTAATAAAGTGAAGCTAATTCAGGATGAGGGCCTAAAAGTAAAAATAAAAACTTGTCAAAAAATTGTAATGGCGTATATCCATCCATCCATTATCTTTACCCGCTTATTCCATTTTGGGTCACGGGGGTCGCTGGTGCCCATGTCCAGCAATCACTGTGCGAGGGGCGGGGTACACCCTGGACGGGTCGCAAGTCCATCACAGGGACACATAGAGACAAACGAGACAAACAAACATTCACTCTCTCACTCACACCTAGGGACAATTTAGAGTTACCAATCAGCCTAACATGCATGTTTTTGGTCTGTGGGAGGAAACCGGAGTACCCGGAGAAAACCCACGCATGCACGGAGAGAACATACAAACTCCACCCAGAAAGGCCCCTGGACTGGGGTTTGAACCAAGGACCTGCTCGCTGAGAGGCAGCAGCTCTACCAGTTGCGCCACCGTGCTGCGTAATGGCGTATAAGCTTTGGCTATTTTCCCCAACATTTAGAATAAAATAGAATTTGACGAGTGTAACATGGTTCCAATAACAGAACAAGGAGTTTACAGTGAGTTGTTCACTTTTAGCTCTAGTCCTTAGTTAATTTTTTTATATGAACAGCATAATCAGCATACATATAAGTAATAAAACAGTGTTTTTGTGTTGGTGTCTATTTTTTTAATTTATTTTATTTGAAAGATTATTTAATATTGAAACAAACTTTAATACTGTGATTCAAGATCACGCCAAAAAGGACTACCAGTAGTTTTCTGCTGGTTTTATCATGTTAGTAACTGGGTCAAAATAATGCCGTCCTTTTAAAAGTTCATGGAAGTTGTATGTAGATGTGTTGTTATAAAAAAATATTGTCTTGTTAAACGAGTGAGACCGTCGTTGATGCTTCAAGTGCAACATAACCAACTTGTCTCTTAGCGTTCTGTTTCTTTTGTTGACGTCTTTTGTTTTTTCTTCCTTGCTAAAGTTAAATATTCTCCTAGTGCTAACTCACTCGGTCTGACATTGATTAACTTGTTGCAACACCTCATTTCTACAAACGCGAGGGGGGTTGATATGGTCACACTCTGAGGCTTGAATAGGAGGCATATTCCTGTCCTCCACCTTTTTTTTTTTCCAAAAGCGTTTTTAAATATGGATTTTTATAGAGCGACAGTTTTAGGCTTTTATTGGAAAAACGTACTAAACGGTCATTGAAGGCCCATTTGTCCACCAGTTGTTTGGGTATTGGTCCCTTGTGAGTGAGCTACCAACAAGTGAGGTGTTTCACGGTGTGAATGGTTGTGAAACTACCTGAGCAGACCCAAAGCTGCATTATAAGTGACTGATGGTGAAACCCGAGCTCTTCTGTTCAGTATTGATTTTTGTCTTCCTGTTGAACCCGGCCGGCTCCCTTCACTCCTCTCAGGCCATCTGCGTCTCGTTTCCAAACACTTATCTGAAACCGGGTTACAGAAGCAGAAGATCCAGGAGAGAATCTAAGGTTCCTCTCCCCGGATCATCCTGGAGGATCCTGAGCTGTTCCACCTTCCTTCTGTGTGTAAATTGTGCACAGAAACAACTGTGGTGTTGGTGCCTCGAGTGACTTTTTAATGCGGTTGTCCCAGTTTATAATCAGAACTCGTGAAGTCATTTTGGATGAAACATCTTGAAGAAACAAGCTGCTGAACTAACTAACATGGACACCCTTTTATCTTCTCATTAGCCACTTTTTCATTATTTCTCCTCAGAGAATCTGGAGCCCCACTCTGCCCCAATGGAGATCGGGCACCCGGAGGTTGGTCGCTACTTCTCAGAGTTCACCGAAACCCACTACGTTGCCAATGAAGAACTGCAGACACGATACCCAGAGGACCTGCGCGAAACCCTGGGCACAGTGCGAGAGCTCTATGACAGAACGACTGGGGGCCAAGACGAGGCCCCTGCTGCAGACCAAAACAACCACCGAGCCACGTCAATGTAGCGAGAAGTCCTGCCGACAACAGATCACCCATTGTCTGCTCACAACCAACTTAGCTGTGGTGTACACTTAGACCGGAACAAGTATAACAGAGGATACTTTTTATTTGTTCGACAAAAGAAAAGCTTAACAAATTTGTTGTTTTAAAAAAAGTTCAGAACACCGAATCCTACCATCGGTGCTCATTTTTAAAAATACAGTCACAGTTTGGGAAAAAAAAGTCAAAGTTATACAAAGAAAGACTTGAACCGTGGAAAAGTACCCAGGTGCTGTAAAAGCCCCTCCTGCTTAAAATCAGAATGCTTCCCATTCCCTGCATCCAGCACCAGTAAACCCAGTGCCACACAAAATAATGTGAAGACTTTCCACTCTTCAGCTTTGAAGGATGAAATTCTATATTTCACATTCCTCGATGACCCTTGTTCTGTACGTTTACAAAACCCCAGTATTTCATAGTTTATAGGGAGTCAAAGGGAGCTGTGAGGAAACAATAAATCTTTTCAAAATTAAATTATTAATTCCTCTGTCTTTTTTTTTAAATCTCTAAAGCAGTTTGTTGGTTTCTTGTACTGGAAGCAGCCAGACCATCATCTCAGCAGTAATTGGTCAATAAATCGACGGCGTTAGGACCAGGAGGAAGCCTGCGGTCTTGACTGCTGACAGGAGTTAAAGCTGCAGCTCTGCAGAAAACCAGCCAGTCCGAGCAGCTCGTGCGTCCTGACGCACCGGCAGGGCTGCAGCCATGGGAGCCTCCCAGTCGCACTCCGAGCACCAGTACCAGGAGCTGATGGGGAAAACCGGGTGTAAGTTTGAAAAAGCCCTCAGGGGATGTTTGTGTTCGGGATGAATTTCACTGATGATGCTGCAGAAGAGTCCGATTTGAGCTGTTCAGCACAGGGATCCGCTGGTTCACCTTCAAACTTTTGTTTTTAAATGATTTTCCTTCCTGTTATTTGGAATTAACTACTTCTGCATAATTGGTGTTTTTATTTAAGCATGCATAAATCAAAACGGTCACCTCATTCAAGAAATATGTTAACTTTTATTTTTAATGACTTGAACCTTTTTCCCATTGAAATACATTAAAGTTTCTTCATTCCATTGAAAACAATGTTCTTATTGAAATCTGATTCAGGAGTCTTGCTCTTTTTTTGGGCTTCTTTTTCTGCTTTTAGCTCGTAGTCGGCCTTTAGATACTTTTAGCTATCATTTTAGCTACTTTTAGCTTGGCTGTTGACATGTTCAGATTTTAACATTCAGCTAAATTTTTGCTTTTAGATAGCCTTTTGGCACATGGATATTCTGTTTACTGTTTTATTACTTTTAGAAGCCTTTTGATACTTTTTGCTGTCATTCTGCTGCTTTAAGGTTTTAGCTACTCTTTTGAGATATTCCATTTTTATTGTTCAGCAGCAATATTCCCATTCAGCTACTTTTAGTTTGGCTATAACTAAACAGCTATTTTTGTAACTTTTAGCTTACCTCTTGGTACTTTTTAGCTAACTTTTTATTTCTATTTTTGAATTTTAGCTATTATTTTGCAGCTTTTAGTTAAAATGTTGCTATTTCTAGCTTTTAGCTACTTCTGATTTTTAGCTTTGCTCCTTAGCTTTCATCTAGTGATTGCTCTTTTTTTTTTTGCTTTAACAACTCAGTTTCCGCCTCCAATAAATGCCAGCAGTCTTTCAGCACTCAACATTGTCATAGTAAACATAATTTATTTAGCTCTTAATGTCTTCCTCTGAGAATAAATCAGCATGTAGAGAAGTCAAACACCTGAAGTCATTACACGCAGTAAAAGCCGAGCTCCACCCTTGAACTAAAGGATTAAACCAAACCGTGTCACGCCCAGTAGTCATAAATAAACACAAAGAACCACGACTAAAACATTTTCTTTATCTGTTTCTGCATCATTCTGTAAATGAGCCTGAAAACAACTGGATCTAATCCCCATCACGTGCTGCTTTGTGGCTAAAAACAGAAGAGAAGTGAGTAGATCTATTTTTAAGAGAGGGAAGAATTTAACTTGTGCAGTTTCAGTGCATGGATTGTTTTTGCACCTCGGAGTCCATCTTTACTGATTCCATCAGAGACTTTGAACTGCTTGGTTGCCATATTCTCAGCGTTGACCTCATTTCTCCTTTGGGTTAAAGATTTTCATGACTGCGTGAAGTTTGATTGATGGCTACCTGCACCGACGGGTTAGACAGAGCACGTTTTCTTTGTTGTTAGTTTTGTGTAGCTCAAGTTGGTAAAAAGGTTAGTGTGTGTTCCTGCAACAGTTGATCCTGCGTGTCACACCAGCCACTCGTGTTTTGTGTGCTCATAACTCACACCGGGTGCAGACACAGCTGCCTCTGCAAACATTCAGCGGCCTCTGCGAACATTAATGTCTCGATACGAGCCCAGACAGAACCAGACGCTTTAAAGCTTTAAGGCCACACAGACAGTGACTCACTGAACCACAGGATCATCCAAACACGTGTGTACAATGTGTTTGCTCAGGTAAGACTGACCACAGAGCAACACCTGAGCACTTTAAATACATAAGTAACAGCTACGGTGTAAAAATAGTATTATGATGATTTAAAAAAAAGCAGAATTGGATCAACACGATAAGTGTTTGTTTCTTCACAGTTTCACTGGAGCAGATTAAAAACCTCCACAGCCGATTTCAGCTTCTGAGTGGCAATGAAGAGACGATAAGGTAAAATATGTTTACTTGACTGTTTGATTGATTTATTTTCATGTCTATAGGGTAATATTTGTGTAGTTTGGGATCTAGTTAAATTTCAAATTAACATAAAGTGACATGCTGTTAAAGCTATTCGTTGCAAAATATAAAAATCAAACTTAAAAAATGTCCTGAACTTCCACATGGAGCAGTTTGAAATACTTTACTACAGGAGGTTTCCAAACATGTTAGAAGACTAATATATTGCACAGTAGATACAAATTAAGTTCATGATTTATAAAGGTGATACAAAAACTTGCCCGTTTGTGCACATATTCATATATTTCCACATGAAGCGACATGCTGTTAGTGACAAATCCAACTTTTTCCCTACTTCCCCCTAAAGTTCCCTCTCGGAGTGAAAACTTCCTGCGCCTCATTAGTCGTGTTTGTGACCTTGTAAATGACACTGTTCTGCTGCGTTCTGTTTTATGGTGATGTTTGTTTTTTTTTGTCTTGTTCTACAGCAGAGAGAACCTGAACAGCATACCTGGTCTCGCTGAAAACCCCATCAAAAAGCAAATCATCGAGGCGTTCTTTGATAAAAGGTGGGTACAGTTGAAAACTGTGTCAATTATGATGACACAAAAATTGCCAACACAAATTTATCTGATTTAATGATGTTTCTCACCTAATTTTAGGTAAATATTTATTGACTGAGGTCATTTTTTCTTAGCCACCAAATATTACACCAGCCACCAAATGAAAACCCTTAAACTCCTTTAGCTTGATCCCTATAATTATTCGTGTTTACCCATGATGCCGTGTTTTGGTTCAGCGTTCTACTGTTATTACTGTGGCAAACAGCGACTCATTCTTATTAGAACAAGTCAGTTTGAGCTTCTTTGCAATCCCTCTTTTTAACTTGAACTGCTTGAAAAGCCTCGTCACATATTTCCATTATTTTCATAATGACATTACTGCACAAAGTGATTTATTTTGAGATCACCAACAAATATCAGAGCAGTTTTTCTGCCTGTCTTCAATTTTAATGGTGTCTACTCGAATACTGAGCCTTTGTTGTGGGGTTTGTAGAAACAGGAGTTAAAGCTGAGCTTTAGAAACAAAGAATATGTTGTAGTACAATATAGTATATTACAAATTGATTTTTTCAGACATCAGTGCATGTAAACTTATTTCAGTAACCAGTTCTGAGCCTGTATGTGATTATAACATGGACACTTCAATCCGTCATTAGTGTCCACTAAAGAGCTAATTTAAAATGATAGTTAAAGTATTCTTGGCACAACTCGGCCCGGCTGGTGGTCTTTAATTGTGCACACTAGCTACATTAGCTACAGGCTAAAGAACTGTATTACTTTTTTAGGATGACACTGACAATTTAAAAGCAGTCACGGTTTTGTCCTGATGTCCGCTCAATAATCCAGGTAGATAAAACTAACGAGGCGAGTCGGGCTCTTCTTTGTGCACATCCTCGATAAAGAGGAACGTTAGAGTCAAGTCAGCTTTATTAATAAAGCACATTTGAAACAGCAGCTGTTACCAAAGTGCTCAACAGTAAAATCAATGGGAGTAATTTCATGGAAAAAAAGAAAACAATAAAAATATGATGGTGCTGAATCTTGATTAAAAGCATCAAAAGAAAAACAAAAACTCAGAGCAGTAAAATACTAAGTCAAGTCACACTGTGCAAAAAGCCAGGGCTGTTTTTAACAGAGATTTAAAAACAGGAAGTGAAGTGGCCTGTCTAATGTTGGGGGGGCAGGTTGTTCCAGAGTTTGGGGCCCACGACTAAAAAAAGCCAGATCACCTCCGAGCTTCAATTTTGTTTTTGGAACAGCCAAAAGCAGCTGATCGGATGATCTCAGGGCTCCGAGAGGGAACACATGGTTCCAGTAGTTCAGAGACATAAGTGGTTGCAACCATTTATGCACTTACAGGTAAAGGGAGCCAGCGAAGGGAGGACAAAACCGGTGAACAATGCTCAAACCTACGAGCTCCAGTTAATATCCGAGCTGCAGCATTTTGGACAAGCTGGAGACGTGAAAAGGAGACCTGACCGACTCCAACATATTATAGTGTGTTGCAGTAGTCCAGTCAGGGAGGAATAAACACATGGACTAGGTGTTTTTCAAGGTCAGATCTGTTCAACACTGACTAGCTTTAGCTATCTGCCTTGACTGGAAGAAGTCTCTCTGCAGAACAGAGTTAATCTGTTTACTAAACTTAAAGACGGATTTTTAAAACTATCCTGTGATTTGTAACCGACTGCTTAAGACACGGCTGAAGACAGTCAAGATTTACAGGATCAGAGACAGAAGTCGTCCATCATTAAACCGAGGCGGAGGCCTACGTGTTCCAACTGTTCCTCTCTGTTATTGCATCACCCAGCCCTCTGAATAACAACCGGACATCAGGGCACTAACGATCCATCGTTAGGCTGATGGTCCTCCTTTTTGCACGTGAACAGCTAGTTTTGGCCGTCACCAGCAAACTGGTTGATCCATTATGAGAAGATGCTGATTATAAGACTGAGTTTGTTGCAGCTCCTCAGACTGAAGAAGTCTTTCGGATGAAAGAGGAAACGTTTCTACAAATTTTTTTGTTTTGTTTTGTTTTTTGAATGTCGTGACTAGGTGTGATTTATGTTCACAAAAATAAAAGTCAACATTTGTCACAAGTAGTAAAGGAAGCAAATGAATAAAAGCTGTAGGTAAGTTTCTGAGCTTCAGATCAAACACATTTTTAAGATTTGATGTTCAAACATGCTGCGGCGGCGTTACAGCTCTAAAAATGCACATAAGCTGAGCTCTGTTTGAAACTGGTGAATGTTTTTATCTGTTGTCCAGAAACCAACATAACAATGAAACTGGATCCTACGAGGACATCGGGTTTGAGCAGTTCCTCATGGTCATGTCCCACTTCCGTCCTCCGAATCCGAAAACCAAAGAGGAGGAGAGGGAGGCGATAAGGAAGGAGAAACTCCACTGTGAGTAAAATGTGTTCAATAGAACGTGATCTTCTTCTGAATGTAACGTACCAAGAAAAAAAACCCCACAGAATTCCTCTGAGCATGTCAGCTCTGACATGGGAACGTGTCTCAGTGGGACCATGGCTGACACACAAAGTCCACTGGTAAAGGCAGAAAAGGGGGGGGGGGGTCTGTGGAAACATGTTTGGGACGTGGTTTCTGTTGATGATATCTCCATGAAACCTTGTACTAACCTGTTTGCTGATCCACTCAGATATGTAGTTTACATTTCGTCACATTCCTTCCTCACCTGTGATGACCTGTTTATGAGAATTACCAAAACTCAAAAAACAAATCTGGATCCCTTCATGTAATGGGCAGATCGATTTGTTAATGTGGCACCAAAACAAAATTTTCATTCGTTGTCAATAATTTCAGCACAAAATGAAAATACAGTCGTGCTTGAAAGTTTGTGAACCCTTGTTTAGAATTTTCTTTATTTCTGCATAAATGTGACCTAAAACATTTTCACACAAGTCCTACAAGTAGATAAAGAGAACTCAGTTAAACAAATGAGACAAAAATATTATACTTGGTCATTTATTTATTGAGGAAAATGATACAATATTTTATGTTTACGAGTGGCAAAAGTATGTGAACCTGTAGGATTAGCAGTTTAATTTAAAGGTGAAACTAGAGTCAGGTGTTTTTCACTCAGTGGGTCTCACACAAGCCGTTCTACCAAAGAATGGGTAAATGATTCAAAGTTCATGCTCAATCATCCAGGTTACTTGGATGACTGAGCATGAACTTTGATGTCTTGAACCACTTTGGCTGTGGCTGCCGAACTGGGAGGAGTCGACGGGGGACAGGACAGCCCCCAAAAACCATCTTATCACCAGCAAACTGGTTGGTCCACTTAAAGGAGTGCGCTGCTTAGTGGAGAAAACAGTTTATTTGGGACTCCTCAAACTGATGAAGCCCTCTGGATAGAGGGGGAAACATCTTTCCACAAAATCAAACTGTCCAGATGACCTGATTGACCATTATTTAATGGGTAAAGAAGATTAAAGTTCATGTTTTGGAATGACCAAGTCAAAGTACTGACTTTAATCCAATCCAGATGTTGTGGAAGGACCTGAAATGAGCAGTTAATGTGAGGAAACCACCAACATCCAGAGTTGAAGCTGTTCTGTACGGAAGAATGGGTTAAAATGCCTCCAAGCTGGTGTGCAGGACTGATCAACAGTTACTAGAAAGGTTTAGTTTTAGTTATTGCTGGGGGGGGGGTTTCACACCAGAAACTAAAAGTAAAAGTTCACATACTTTTTCCACTCATAAACATGAAATATTTGATCATTTTCCTCAATAAATAAATGAGCAAGTATAATATTTTTTGTCTCATTTGTTCAACCGGGTTCTCTTTATCTACTTTTAGGTCTTGTGTGAAAATCTGATGATGTTTTAGGTCATATTTATGCTGAAATATGGACAATTATAAAGAGTTCACAAACTTTCAAGCACCACTGTAGTAGACTGGTGTTCTGACCTCGTTGTTTGACGGTCAGTAGAGTAAAAAAATTTGCCTTTGCAGCTCCAGTTTCAGTTTCAACACAGAACTAACGTCACACACATTCCTCAGTAAATTTAAACTCGTTGACACTAAATGGAGAAATGGTTTCTGAGATTGGGGCAACTGGTAGAGCTGCTGCCTCTCAGCGAGCAGGTTACCCTGGTTCAAATCCTGGTCCGGGGGCCTTTCTGGGTAGAGTTCGCATATTCTCTCCGTGCATGCGTGGGTTTTTTCCGGGTACTCCTGTTTCCTCCCACAGACCAAAAACATGCATGTTAGGCTGATTGGTAACTCTAAATTGTCCCTAGGTGTGAGTGAGAGAGTGAATGGTTGTTTGTCTCGTTTGTCTCTGTGTCCCTGTGATGGACTGGAGACCTGTCCAGGGTGTCCCCCGCCTCTTGCACAGTGATGGCTGGACATGGGCACCAGTATTCTCACGACCCAAAAAAACAAGAAAGAAGCGGGTAAAGATAATGGATGGATGATTTCTGAGATTAAATCCTGAGTGTTTGTTAAAGTCAAAGCAGTAAAATATCACAATATACTCAGGATTCTGGTGCATTAAGGATACATTTGTTTGTATTCAATAATTTAGTGCTAATGAGTTGTCATTTAACATTCATTATTCAGGTCTCTTGTAAACGAGTCCTCGAGGCTCAAAATGGGATTAACCTGTCTAAATAAAGGTTGAACGAGTTAGTTGTTGCACACATTTTAATGTGTTGATTTTAGTTATATTTACAAAAACAAGGTGATTTGTTTGATATCTCACTGAGCAATCTACTGCAAGTGAAAAGAGCAGAAGAAATGTTTGACATCTTTGAATTCACATGCAGCTGCTAGCTTTAGTAGCTTGAACTGCTTGGTGACTCAAAACTGCTGGAAAATTGTGAGAAACTAGGTGAATTTTCAGTTGCAGTCTGAACTCTGGGCGTTTGCAGCCAAACAGCTCTTCACTCATATTTTATGCGACTAATTTTAGAAAATCGTGGCGCGAGCGCAGCTCACAAAACTGTTATTTTAAGTCATGCAGATAATGTCTTTGTCCAGTCCTTATAAGACTAGACCATTAACAAAATGTACACTGTACTGGTATATATAATAATAAAAAAAAAAAAAACAAGATATGTTTTAGGAAGGTGAGGAAAAAAACACCATTAAACCTGCGCTGCATCTTACAATTTAATATACGGTACTCTTAAAATAAAAATCTTTGAGAAAATTAAGAAGTTCAAATATTACGTAACAGTGCATTAATCAGCGTATCTTCAAGTTTATTTCCAGAGAAGTTGAGTCAGGATTAATCTATATTATTATTTATAAATGTTCCTCCTCAAACTGGAGACGTGAGATTAATTATTGTGCAAGCAGACCATTGTTGTCCATATTCTTGGGATAAGAACACAAAAGCAAAGGATTTCATCGGGGAAGGAAACGTCAAGTTGTTTTGTTCTTGCACTTCTTTAATATTTGAGTTTCTTGTTTAATTAAACTCACAGGACCTTTTCTTTCTGTGCAAGCCAGATTGCTTTGAGTTGAAAATCAACTCAACGTATTTTGCCCTTTTGTCTGTCCAGTTTTGTTCAACATGCACGACACAGACAGTGACGGCATCATTACTCTGGACGAGTACAGGAAGGTAAATAAATTAATAACCATGCTAATATGTGCTTTTTGTGTTTTCTTGCAACATAGAAACAGCCTCTAAAATGAATTAATTGAAGCTTGCATTAATCTTCATAATGAATTATGTACCATATTTACTTATTAAAACATGTTGCATCATCATTTCTTTCTTCTGCCAGTAATAATTTGAAGTATTGGGGAAAAAGGTACAATTTAGAATCAAGATATTCAATCTCAATGTCAACGGTTTTAAAAAGCACTTCCTAAACAAAGACTCGGTTCAGATCAAATCTGCTGTATGCAAATCTACGAGCACAAACAGTGGACAGCGTAATCAAATTGCCAATTTGATTAAGGCCAAATGAATTTTAGGCTTTAAAATCTACAGTTACACCAAACAAAAGGTGACCTTGAGTCAGGAGCTTTAATCCGATTCCTCTTCTGTTTGATGCATGATGTACATTCACCTCCCATAATCATGTTTAAATGCATTAAACAGCCGAGACGACCGTTTACCCCATCTAAACGACGCTGCGCTCAAGTACGAGCAAAGAGCAAAACATGCACATGCGTGTACTTTGTTCATGGCATAATAAAAGCCTGTCTGTGCATTTACATGTTTAAGCCTGTCATATTTTTCCAAGGTTAGGATAAGGTCCAGAAAATGAGAAGTTAAAAGAATATAAGCAGAACAGCGAGTAAAAACGGTATGGAATGTGGAAAGATAAAATATTGCATATATGTTTTGCATTAGGTGAAACATAATAACATTAATGTGTAAAAGATAATGGTAACACTTTACAATAAGGTACACAAACTTTGCTTAACTACTAGGGAATGCCGCAGGAACAAATCAGGAACTAATGGGTAGTTAACCAGTACTTACTGGGGAACACACAGCCAAGCCTTATTAGGGGACTACTGGTTTGTTACCTTGTAAATGAAGA